TGCGTGTGGCGCCCTCCCTCTCTTGGGGTGCAGTACTACGATGCGGCTGGGGTCACTCAAACCCCCAGAACTGAGCCTCTACTTTAGTCAATCCTCTTTGCTTACGACTGTATCAAATCATCTGTTCTTTTCAAACGCTGAACACCCAAACGTGCACTAATCGTATCCCAAATTTCCACTCACCCCATAAACAAAATAGAATTCCACCAGCAATTAAAAAAAACTTGAGTAATTAATGAAGATGGAGTCCTCGAGTTCAATGGATACAGACGATGATCCAGTAGTTAACGAGGTAATTACCAATAATTGCTGGCAGTTCTAGGTTATCCTGACAATTCCATCATCCCAGAGATAAACAACATCCCTGAAATTTTTTAAACTTAATTTTTATCAATCCTCCATCTATTATCCCTTATTCCTTAATTATTCATCGTTAATTTATTTATAAGAACATTTAAAAGTGTTGGAAAACGACGAAATTATAGAATCTTTAATTAATTTCAATAAATATTTTCCAGATTCCTGTGTATTTATCGAAGACCCTCGCAGACAAGCTCTTCATCTTCCAGTACCCAATTCGTCCAGCTGGTGAGGGTTACGACAACGCAGAGTTCCTGAAGACGGCAATAAAACCTGAGAACCAAGAGGTACGAATAGAAGTGGGCATCGACATCGGAGGGCCAAACTACGACCACCGAAAAGGAGAATGGATAGTTGAGAATTCTACCTCCGAGAGTATAAAAACCAAAGAGAAATTGTTCGATGGTCACATGATGGATAAAATAGTTCTCCAGTCATCTAGAGCCTTGCCAGACTGCTCCAATTACGCAGTTGGTGTATTTCAGGATGGAGAGCTGCACGTAACTCCCCTAAAAGGAATAATCCAACTGCGTCCGCAATTCAATTACTTAGATATGAGTGATAAAAACGCGAAGGACGACACCAAGAAAGCCGGTGAGGAAGAGCCCGAGGAGGAGGCGAAGCAGGTGAACGTGACGTTTGCAAGGCAAAAATCAGAGTTGGCACAGAAGAGGAAAGAGCAGTCATTCCAGGAGCAGGCGAAGAAGAGTTCTGAGGAGGAGTGGATCACTTCAATTTACAGAAACATCAGCACAACTCAGTCGGAATTGACGAGACTGGAGATGCTCTGTGCTTTGTCTGACGACAGATCGAATAATCTCAGATTGCCTCCGAAGGATTATGTGAAACTTCTGGCACCTCCTGCCAAGTCTGACGACTACTCCAAAGCCACAGCCCATGATTCATCGTCTTTGAATTACGTGAGGACTCTGCCCCTGCTTGATCAGATTAAAATCATCATGAAGGACGCCAGAATTCTCTCATTCATCCAGCTGAGATCGATCATAAGCTCGGAACATGAGACATCAGCTATTCTGAAGTATTTGCAGCAAGTTGCTGTTCTTGTTCAGGGTAATTGGATAGTCAACAGCGAATTGATCTATCCAGTAGCCACGAAATCATCGCACAATGGAATACCGGCTGAGCTAATGTGCAGAGCTAGGGATTATATTCTTCTGTCGTTCACTGAGAGTGAGTTTGTGGATAGAAAAGCTGTTTCTTCGGTGGTGAGATTACCACCTGAGGAGATCAAGGAGATATTCACCAATTTAGCGAGAATTCAGCCCAAGAAGGGCTGGCAATTGATATTGCCATCTAGCACTGAATTTCAGGCGAGGTATCCTGAGATTGCGCAGAGACAGCAGCTGTTTTGGGAGGCCAAGAGGAAACACCTGAAGGATGTGATGGAGGCACCGAGTCAACCACCTCAGAGGCAGAGGAGAAAGTCCAATAGGGAATCTATTGGGTCGGAGAATGAGGAGAGAAATGTCGGCAGGGGACGACATCGCCAGAGGGACTCTTCTATGTCTGATGATGGCACTGGCGAACCTGTTAAAAGCAAAAAGGGAAATAGAGGGAAAAAAGTCTCGGAGACGACGTGACACATCAGGTAGTCGCTCGTGAGGAATGTGAGAATTTTGTGAGTGGATGAAGCTCGTCTGACTCTAATATATTCAGAAAATAATATTTACTGTGGACAACAGTAATTCCAATTTGTTGGATTATATTTTTTTTAGGTGCGCTCATTTGTATCAGATAGCGAAAAAATGATTTTTGGTGCAGAGTGAAGAGACGGTTTTTGAGATTGTCATAGGAATTTTTATAAATGAATGTTACTGCCAATTTATTCAATCTCTTTTCCACAGTTATCATCAATTAATTATTTGTTTCTTTTGTTATTTTTGGATTTGATGATTCTGACATTGTTCTTCTCGTTCCATGTACATGAAATGAAAATTTAAATTAATTCTGAATATAATAAAGCTAATATGTTTTTTTTTCAACCATATCGAAGGGACAAAGTTGAAAGGTTTATTATTACATACATCAACACTGTATATATTTATTCATACTGCCACTATATCACAGCAGAAAGATTCATGAATAAACGAGAGCAATTATAAAGAAGTGCAAGTGCTTTGAATTTATTATTTAAAACATTAGAAAAATGATTCATTTGCATTTTCATTAGTCCAGGGGTTTCAACTCAATGTTTCTTCCTCCCAAAGACACTAGTCTCGATTCCTTATAAACTTTTCAATTGCATCAGTGAATAATTTCCCTCCAGGACAGTCATCGGATTTTTCAGAAAAATTTCAAAATCTTGCCAAGCCATCAAATCCCTTGCCTCATAAATTCCTTTTCGATTCATTCCCAGGGGCCTGATAAATTCGATATCATATCATTTATTTTTCAGACCCATGTGAATAAATTATTAATTTTTATATACAATATGAAAGGAATCCAATGAGATCAAATCATCGAAATGAGTGATTAGCACTATTTAATGACATAAATATTAAATCATCCTGTGTTCATACAATTTCCCTTAAATCATTAGAAAATATTAACTATTTAAAAAAAAATGTATGCGAAAATTTCAAATAAACAGATACCTCGATACAAAAAAGATGAATTAATTGAAAATTTCGTCTGTCTTTCATGTGAGATACAATATTCTACTGTACGATCTTCACCAATTTCTAATTCATAATTTTTGGTGAAATGTGATTATTTCAGCAGAATAGATCCAATCGATAATATTGCAATCAGACTGATTAGGGACTGACTAATGAGAGATCCACTTCTTCCATAGCATTTATCTTCAGTGCATTGGGAGAGAGCTTCGGCAAGTTTTTCCTTCAAGTAATCCCATCTGCAGAGACCCACATCACAACCTGGCAATCTCATTTGCTTTCCTTGCATGTAGAACATCACCTGGTCTTGACCACCACTGCATCTGCAATTAACGTTTAATTATAGAATTATTGTATTTATTATTTATAATTAATCTGAACTTTGTTCTGGAGTAAATTAATTACAGGTACTGCAGACACAAATTTTTTAATGAAAAATTCAAAAGTTCTGTGAGGTGAGATGTAAGACACCCACATATCAATAATCACTTGTTCTTCTTGAGTATTTTGCCCCCACGATACCACAAAAATTCTCCAATGAATGTCACCGTCGCCGTTGTAAAACCGAACAACAAGACATCCGTCAGCTGTTCCCGCAGAACTCCTTCAGGAGGCACATCGAGTTCCTCCAACAACTCATCCTCTTGATCACGCTTCAACAGTTTGCTGAATGTACTATTCCGATACAACATGACCTTTAGCCCAGCCTCTATCAAAACATTGAGCAATCTGTCTATTCTCCTTCGATATGGAGATCCCGCTCTAACGAGAAAAGCATAACTGTCTTTCCAAAAGCAGACTTTGCTCAACTTGAGAGTTGGCTGTCCACGTCGATAAGTCGCTGTGGTGAACCACTTGGCCTCGATTTGATTCATCAAACAGCCAACATTCCTGAATCTTTCAGCTTCCGCTGGACACTCCCATATGGCATTCGTCACGACAGCTCGGCTCTTCAAATTCATCATCGCCCCATCACTTTCACTTACATTTCCAAAAGTCTTATTCATCAAGTACGTCGAGATCTTGAGGTCAAGCCCCGATCGATCGAGTTCATCAAAACTCCCATACTCAACCTCCCCATCAACTTCAGTACTGAGTTTCATAAGGGAAGCGTAAAAATTCGCTGTATAAAACAACGATATGATCATCAGAATCAGAACAACAAGTCGCTGAGACATCTTGAAGTCCGAGTAATTGCTGTGCACAGGAATGGCGAACAACACGCGAAAAGTCTTGAAGATACTCCATGACTTGGGTAACTGGAAGAGCCATGCAGATCCCCAGAAGACAACGACAATTCCAATGGTCATGATAATACCTTCAACAATAGCCGCTGGAAACGGTATCCGTGTGGTTTTCTCCAGAGGAACTAGGGCACAGAGTTCTTCCCTAAATAAACTCTCACTACGAAATAAATTCTCCTCCATGTCCTCCGTGAAGTGAGGGCTGGCAGAGGCAAGAATATCGATTTTATCAGTGCGCAAAAGGTCGAACAATCCTCGTGACGAGTTATCCTTGACGATTTCATCGAAAGTCAACAATCGCGGAAGAATATTCAACGTGAAATTCATCTCTTCGGCTAGAATCTCCATGGTCGTGATGTCCCATCCACTTCCCGACTTGTAATTCCAGTTTTCATCCCAGGACACATCGGAAAATGGTGGCTGATGAATAATACCGATTTTCAGGGGATACCCATGCATATCCTTCATGATATCTGGAAACCACTCAATCCCTGGATGATACGTCTTCCTTATTATCGAACCGACAAATGGATTAAAGTGATGAATCACTGGTGAGATGTCCTCAACGCATCTCTTCAGGATGGTTAATGGATCTCTTCTGCAGCTGACGACTTCTAGGATAACCAGATCCATCATCTGCAGCCGCCAGGCGTATCTCAGCAGATGGTCAAAGTTTTGGGTTTGTGTTGACGACAGAAAAGTCACCAGATACTTGACTAATTTCTTGCTCAACGACAACTTCTTCATGATGGATATGATTCGTCTTGGCACTATTGATCTGGTTTTTTTTCTGTCGTCCACAAAAATGAAGAGAGTCGCCGTTGAATCGGTTCGATGAGACGACCATTCCTCTTCAATATCCGATGAAAGATCAACATTTATTCTGATTGTTGGATAAGTCGACATTGCAGCGTGGAGAATTGCTCGGATCCAGGGATTCTCGAATGGTATTCCAGGATTTTTACACGTTATTATTATTACTTGGCGATAGCTCTCGTTGTTGTTCTCGATGTAGTTCAGTAAATCTGAGAACCACACAGGTTCTGAACCTGCCAGAGCACCGAATATCCTCATTGACAGAGCGATCACTAGGTATTTTACTGGAACACGTGGAGGGTTCATGATGAGCCCCAATGTCACTGATCAAATCGTTATGCGACTCGACGTAATAACTTCTGGATATCAGTCATTCCATCGACGGATAAACATTATTATAGGCAGACAGTTGACAAAGGGATTAATTTCCGCGTTTTACTTCGCGCATTATTCAACTGATGAGTTTGTTCTGATGATATCTTGACTCATTACTTCAGCTCCTCTGATGTATATCGCATTTATTTGTCCGGCTTAGACACTCTACTGCATTATCCTAATTATTGATTCAGAAGAAAACTCTTTCACGTTAATTCCGAATACTTTTAGGTATGAATTATGTTGATCGTTGAGGTCTTGTTGGAAATATTTCGAATAAATTGGAATTGCGAGATTAGAATAATTAATGAGCAAGAAAAAGAATGAATTACTTGTAGAAAACAGCAACGATGTTGGCATTGAAGGGGACAAGGTTCGATGTCCTCCACTTACGATTCATCATGCTCCTGTAATTTTCCGCAGTCAACTTCTCATTTTCATCGATGGCCCCCAAATTTTGAAGAAAACTCAATATTGTGAATGCGTGAGTGAAGTAGAAGACTCCCTTGGGCTCTCCAGTTGCATTTTCCTCGATGCGACTGTCGAATATTTTATTCATTACAAATTATTGTGATGTGACAGGGTTCAGGATTAATGAAATTTACCGAAATCGATTGATCATGTCTTTGAGTGCAAAGCATCCGATGATTTTATTCGCATTTCGTCCTGGCCCTGCGTTATAGAAATACTGAAGATCTGTAGCATATTCCAGTACTTTGAGTTGTTCTTTACTAAATGCGGCACACCAGGGTGACACTCTCTCTGTATCCAATGCAGCATCATAACGACACATGTCATACATATGCAAGATGGTATCTAAAATCAGTCATTACATTAACCCCAGTCTGTGTGTCGATGACTCATTGATATGTGATTGCATCTAGATTGTGAAGAAAAAATATCAATGGTTCAGACTAAAATTACTGCCAGTGTTGATTGAAATATCGAAGACGGTTACGTAATGTTCACAATCATCACTTACATCTCGTTAAAACCAATGAGACAATTCATTCGTACCTGCTGACAAGTCATACCCATATCCAAGTCTGCTGCTGACGTTACGAATTAGAACGGAGAACTCATGACCTCTCAAGAATTCAGTCAACTCTTTGCTGTGATGAGGATCATTTTCATCTCCATCCTTCCAATGAGAGCAACACTGATACGCCTGGGACAGATAACATGAATGATTAATTCATGAGCAATTGTCACCACATATGCTCCCTTCAAAATTCCTTGTAACCATTTTTCTTAAAAGTATCTCCGCATTCATCGGTGACTTGAAAATCTCAAGGCTGTCCTCAAATTTTCAAGGAATTAAATAGTTCTTATTTTTGTTAAGTAATGAGGTATCCTCAGACAGGATTAACAATTCTCACTTAAAAAATATATATTTGTAATTTATGCATGGGTTACGAAGAATCTTTTCAAAATTATTTGAACTATTTTGCGAATTAATTATTGCTTCCTACCTGTAGTAAAGTATCGTTCATCTCAGGTTCAATTGGTGTAGATCTGATGACAAGACCCACCATAAATTCTTGTAAAGTTGCTTGCGTTGACTGTGACTTCGTTGCCCTAAACTGTAATTTGTAATTAATTATTCAATAATTAGAAATGATCACCGAGGAAAGACACGATATTCAATATACTGGAGTAAAAAATAGAGAAAGCCGAGTGACGAAAATGGATTGCAAACAAATAATGATTTCTCTTGATTAGTCCTCTGAGTTGTCAATTAAAATCATTCGATTTATTTACCACATAATTCTGCAATTTATCACCCAAATCAAACGGAAAAAGATTAGGAAATCCAGCCCTGATCTGTCTGGCGATTGATTTTGTCTGTCTAGAAGCCTCAGGAGTCAATTCCCTAGTCATTTGCATCGTCATGTTGACGTTTAGTGACCACTTGCTGAAATTCTCCAAATCCTCGTCGCATAAATGTCCATCTAAATAAAATCGTCATGACTGTTTATCGATGGTACAATAATTGCCTACATTGAGAGAAAAATATGGAGCATAACCCATTCATTGTACAAAATTTTTCTCTCAGGTCAGTAAATTAAGGAAAAGATAATTACTGAACTGTCCAAGCCTTTGTGATCTGTGATTGACGAAAATTTGATCACGTACATTTCCTAGACCCTTCAAATCCTGTGTGATAGCATCATGTGGGTATCGATTTCCATGTCTCGACAGCATCCAAATTTGTCGAGCCTCACAATCTGTTTCAAGAGAATATCTCAATCCTGTTATCTCTTCATTTATTTATAAACTATTCCCATTCTATAAACTTTCAGTAAAAAAAAATTATACAATCCATTGACTCAAATTTTACTGTCACATATTAGACATGTACAGGAGATAATTAATTGTAGTAAATTTATTGGGTCAAATAAATCTACTTTTATCTAAACAATTGGCTATTTTTACTTGTGTTTGAATAAACTCACATGGTATTGGTCTGTATTCATTTCTATCGGCTTGAAAGGCAGTCACCGACCCAAATTTCAAGTAAGGATCGGAATCATGAGCGTAACAATAATCTGTTTGTCTAGCCCACGTGTAGCCAATGCATAGCACCAAGAAAATTAATAACTTCATGATGAATCCAATATATTCTTTGAAACTCTATTTCTTCTCTCGAAATTGTCGATCGTTGAGCGATCGTTCACTTCTACCTGGAAAAAATGATGAGATCATTAAAATTCTATTGCTTCTTTTGCAATGGAGACAATGGGAAAACTGTTGACAGTTTGTTTAACAATTCAGGTGTGAATTGAAGAGAAAGCAACATTCCTTCAAGCATTTCTGGATTTATTCTTCGCATGCTTGAGGATTTTTACAAATTTATTTTTCTCAATTTAATTCACGTTTTGGGGTTTCGAAAAATCAAGTGATTAATGCAGTGGTTTTAAAAATTAAATATGAATCTTATAACACCTCATAAAATCGATCGGCCATTTTACAAGGTTCTGCTATTTATTTATAATTTATTAGTGAGCTCGGATGGAGTCAAGGAATAATTCAAGACACTTGTATTTTCGTGAATCGAATCGTTTATTGGATCGAGGTGAAATTGAAGGTCAGAGCAGGTGAATCTAACAACTCCTTTCAGTCAAGGATGCATTTAATTATTACCGGTTCAGACTATTTCTGGAATTGAGAGAATCTATGTGCATCACAGTATAGAAACACCTAGTGAATTTTTAATCATAAAAAAATGAAAAAAATCCAATTTTTTTCTGAGAATTTTTTACAGAAAAATTACATTCTGTAATTCATCATCGGATTCGTCATCACTCATCGGATTGGAGAGACATAATGTGAAAACCGGATGTTTTGTGATTACATTGGTATTTTTATCCGGGAAGATGTCAGAGTTATTTTTAAAAAATCGATGGAATACCAATGGAAAGATGATTGAGAAAATGATTATCACGTGATTATTCTGGTGAGAAAATTGTTGTCATCTCTTATTACCCGGATTATCAATGATCTATCAGCTGATTATCGTAATTATTTCATCCCCTGAAACCCGAATTACCGAATTCATTGAAGTTATGTGAGGAACCTTGGAATATAATTTCAATTAGGGACGAAACAATCATCTCATTGATTCCATTGTTCAAGACATTCATGACTCATTTTTTCATTTCTACTTCTCATGCAGAACGAGATTAAGATCTCAGTAAATATCAGTACGAAAAATTTATAGTAAATTGATTGTAATTATAACTGAATTTACTCTGTGAGAAAATTACAAATGACAAAGATGTCCCGAAAATATTGAAATTTTCAGTTCAAATTCTGATTTAAATCATCATCGATCGTATAAATACAATTAACAATAATATTAAATAAATAATAATATTACAATTCTCTTGAAGTACGAATCAATGATTATTGGTACATCATATTAAATAAATAAATTTATACCTGACCCATAAATTTTAAACTTAAATTTTCGTTGTTTATCCCCTCATTCTTGATATTTTTGAATGTCACGTGAATTATTTAAATTATTTTCCTTTTCCATTAATTTATTTCGGAGTTCCACTGAAACGAGTCACTCAAAATTTGCCAATATCAATCATAAATGTAAATAAATAATTCGGAATGTGTCGTAAAATACGAGAACCGATTTCTGCACTCACCTGAACGTGAATCCAAAACCCGAATGGAAAAACCGTGGTTTCAACACCGTCTGGTGCCCCACTTGACGTGAAATAAAAATATATCCTCAATTGATGAGAATTGATTTTAATAACGAATTAATTTCGCAGTGACATAATCCCCACAGCGATTACGTACGTATGTCACGTTCTCCAGGTCTTTATGAAGTGCCGGCCCTGAAGAAACTGCTCTCCGGATTGCACGTGATCGGGTGTAACTCGACTAGGTTCTCCGGTCTCAGTTTGTATACAAAATACATATGTAAGTGTTCACATAGCGACTAGAAACCCGTTCCACAAGACTGCCCTGTACTCACTGTAGACAATTGCATGTTACGTACACTATTTACTCAGTGCTGTTCAAAAGTGCCAATGAAACAATTCATGGATAAGATTTCATTCACAAAAGTCAATTCATCTGTGATAATTAATATTCCCCTATTTGGATACGATGTAGCTGTAAAATTTTTCCAATTTTCATCAGAATTACAGAAGAATTGAGGAGTTCCTCGATATTTTCCGCCATTTTGTCGCCCCCATTTCCAAGCATAAAATGGCGGTAGTGTGTGGTCGCTTCTCTGACTCTTCATTTCTTCAGTGATCCTGCGAAAAAGTTAGCTGAACCCAGATGATCTCGGTGGATTTTTCATAGATTTTCATCTCCAGAATTCATGAGCTCCTGCTTCGTTCTCTTCAGCAGAGGGTCTTCATGGCAGTAAGTTTGGTAAGGCGATTGTGTCCAGCTCTCCATCATTTTCCTCACTCTCCCAGCGACCGATGAGGAACGCTGGACATTCGACAAGGATTCCCCCCAAGGGTTTCGATTATTTCTCCTCTGCGCTCCCCTGGACACTTTCAATATCATATTTTTAATTAAATACGTTATTTTCAGAGAAATATTCCGTTGTCCACGTTTTCCAGGGAATTCATATTTGAAATGAAGAATTTCAATGTTGGAATAACAAATTTCTGTTTTGATTCGAAAGAACATGGGTCCAGTGACCTATTCCATCCGAATTACCATATTTTTTTCTTCATGATGACCACATGGTGATGTCACTCTGCTCTGCATGACCTTCACTGGTTCAACCGTAGGTGTGTCGACTGATGGTATTTCTATTTACTTTTTTTTCATTCTCATGGATTTTCTCTCGAGCCATTGCCCTCGGTGGCCTCGTTCGGTTTTTACGACTCTGTTTTCGATTTTTTCCAGTGTCCGGCACGGTAAAGCATGGAATCATCGTTTTGCTGATCGTCAGGTGCGATTTGGTCAGCGAGAAATTTATTTATATACACAGGAGAATTCAGTGAAGAAATTTTTAACTATTTCTGTTACAGATTTTAGGGGGAAATTTTGAAAATGAAATTCCATCTCTCATTCCCTTAATTTTAATGAAACTTAAAAATAATTATACTGGGGTAATAAACAAATTATAATAAAAATAGGAAGTTCTTAACTTTTGTCGATAAATTGAAATCAAGGAATCCATAATGAACAATCGAATTTCGAGTTGCCAATTTTTAATTTATTATAATAGAATGATAACAATAGAATATTTAATAGAATGAATTTAGAAATGAGAATTAAAATAAATATAGATGACTCAGGAGAATATTGAATAAACCAAAATATCAAATAAACTCAGTACCTAAGGGAGCAATATTCTTCATTCATAATAAGCTCCAATAACGAGACAATGAGCGTAAAAGGATGAAGTTTCAAAGTTGTAGGTGGAGTAATTATCCCTTTCGACATCCCACACAAAACCCATTTTGGTGTTGATAGCTTGACTAGCTTTTTCTATCATAGTTACCAGAACGATAATTTTACATCTGAAAGGATAAATGAAATATATGTGTTATTAAAAAATGAGTGACCTAAGATAAAGGATAAATTAATAAATAATTTACATCATGTTTCGTTAATTAAATTAAAAACAATAACAATCTCACCTATCAAACTCCAACTTCATGAGTTTCTTTCGAATTTCTTTAGCGATATGAGCGCACAATTTCGCAGCAATTTCCGGGTCATAAGTCATCTCTCCCAATCGCATCTGCATGACATTCCTCACAATTTCATCAACGGGATCTGCCCTGAAAGGATTTCTCGCCCTGAGCTGGTAGGTATTCTGATAAATCGGTGTCTGTCAACACAAATAATCACATCAACACGATTTCCAATGTTTTAAGATAATCCTTATAATTTTAATGAAATAAATAACCGAAACCGTTTTCAGAGGGAATCAGTGAAAATTCTTGAGTGAAATAAAACTAACTTGATCATAGTCAACACTACTTCGTGCTGACACTTCGATATTCGGTGCCATCATCATGTTGTTCAATTACGCAAATACAAAAGGAGCAATGAAAAGTGTCACCGAAAGGCACAATCAGAGCCTTGGAGACCAAACAACACTATCGGTTACATTGAAATCGATTTTGACTCACACAGAGCCATCAAAATATCGTCAAACCAGACTTACCAAAAAAGCGCGGGATCAGTTTAATTCCAGTCAAATAATTCACTGACTCAAACCAAGACAACTCCAACAATCCCATCAAGCCCTAATCCATAAGTAAATAAATTACTGTACCTTGACGATTGGTATATTCCGCTGTTGGAGTGCATTTCGAAGTCTTGGACGACTAGTTTTTCCCTCCAGCTGCACGAAGAACTCGAAATAATTAAAACTATCCAATGAAAAATTGATTTTATTAAATAAATCTGGACTCTATTGAAGTGTTGATCGAATCTCATGAGTTTGGGATTCGATTATCAAAGCTCGAAATCTTTCTGATTTGTTAATGTTGTGAAGTTATAAGAATACGTTTTTTTAAAGAAGAGAATCGACTTAGAATAATAAAATTGAAGTTTCACTGATTGTTGAGTGAATGAGAACGAACAGATAAAAATGATGAGTATTTATGATTGATTTAATTTAAAAAAACCAGACAATAAATAGAGAAGGGGTGATATAGCAGCTGTTGCACAAGGAAGAAAATAATTTAGAATGAAGAATAAAAGAATTCAAGGAAAACATGTAGAGGCAGAATGGGGATTTCAACTGGTTAACAAATTTTAATCTGTTTTTAAATGGGCAAGACCAGGAAGAGATAATCAGAAGGGATAGCCTGATTTTAGAGTGGAGGAGTTAATGAATCAGAAGCTTACACATCTCCAAAAGCTGATAGCCATGACGCCACTTCACTGACTGAAACGAAAATTTCGGTTGAACCCAACTGTTGGTTCGTGAGTCACGATAAGTTTTGATACCTCTGGATATGCTGGTAGAAATGAGGCAGACAATCCACACTGGTTTAACCCCCCCTAAAAATATCCACGAGCCTTAGCATGTTTCATAAAATATAAAATGAGCTTTACTAGGCGCGAAAATCGTTTATTCCATCACGAAAATTCTCGATATGCCAACACCCCCAGGGCTATCACGTGCTGGGGTTACATGTTGGAGTGTATCACCCCCGACAGCTGATGATGCACGAAGAAAGGTGTGAATATTGCCACTAAAAATGGAAAATTCTATTTCACGATGGGTAGAATAATATTTTTGGTGTGAATCCGTTGGAATGTAACGGTTGAATAAATTTAAGGGGAAATTGCCAGGGGTATATCTTTATTTTTATTGTCACTCGCATGCAATGACGATCGATCATTGTAAAATCCATCACATGTATGGTGGATATCCTAGATGTATGCATAATCCATTTTCCAACACATTTCAAAATTCGTTTTTGAGATGTTACAGTGAAATGGATATTCCCGGCTGTCACGCCAGTAAGCGATAACTGACAGTACTGAAATAACGTTGACTCTCAATTTTAAGGGAATGAGAATTTTCGGTGGTATCGTGTGATTTTCCAATACAGAGGAATCAAATATTATGGCAGTTTGGATTAGAACAATTGGGATAATTGATCGATCTGGGGTGAGACTGGCGAAGGGAAATTAAAATTACCCTGTGATTGACACGGCATTCGAGATTTGTTGACGTGATATCGATAATCGATAGGTAGGATTGATCGAAATGTCTTCCCTCCATCCTCATGCAAAAGTTTAACTCGAAAGCTATTAATATTCATCTTTCATTAAACATTCCAGTAAGAATTTGTTCCTTGCATTCTTGTCGGATTTTAAAGTGAGATTCAGTCAGTGCTTGACAGTAATCGGTGAAAGGTTCATATCTTACCTAAAAACTTCAGTACAGAAAATTATTTATTTGCTCTGCATGGATTCGTATTGATGCAATAGTCTTTATCAGATAAATCGATTTATTGACGACTAAGTGGGGGTCATACCAATAAATCAAATCCAGAGTTGACATTAAACACAAATCAATTTATTTTTTTTTCCACAATTACGTATGTACATATTGTCTGATTTAATCGATGAGTTCGTGAATTCTATTTCTGTTCAACTTTTACAAATTATCTGTTTACACAAGCTTTTTCGTAGTAAACTCGAAAAATGAGTCGTTTCAGTCCGAATACTCCGGATTACCACAGAATATATTGAATAACATTGATAAAATACAATTAAAATAGCTTACAAAATCAAAACGTGATAACGTGGTCATTAATTTTGTTGGATCTACGTGTTTCTTCTAGAAAGAAATAAAGAACAAATTTTGCGTCATGAATTCTCAAGCAGAAATGAATAATTGTTTTTTTCAATGAAAAATTGAATGAACATAAAATACGAGACGAGTGACAGATTTTGGCGCCGCCATCTTGTTCGCGCATTCCCAGCAAAGGGTGTTAAAATGGCGGCGACTCCACCTCGCATCTTTAAATAATTAATTAAAATATTTATCATCTTCAGATCGTTCTCAAATAGTTACCGCCTTCTCTTATGAAGTGAACAATTTTTTTAAAACAATTTTGCAGATATTTGGTTTTTTTTTTCGGCGAAAATTCATGCAGCAAAATTTCATTAGTTCATTGCCACATTTTTCTCAGCCAAAAAGTCCCTTATCTGAACATGAATTTAAATTAGTTTGAAAATTAACATTTCTACGCACTCATTACTTTTCTCTTAGATACAATGACAATTCCACCAATAAGTCATACCGAATTGCTTAATTGTGCAGTTCTCCTACTATTTCCAACAAGAAATTCACATATTTGGCATGACTGACGTACTAATTCTCAGTGAGAAAAATATTTGAAATTTTTTCACACATCTTCCTGAGATCAACGAATAGCTTATAAACACCTAAGCAATTTACGGAGACCACAAATTGAAGATTTTCATTCTACTTATTCATAATTCAATGACAAGTCATAAAATCTGCACAGCAGTACGAAAGCTCAATTCCAAAAATCAGGATGTACCCATAACAGATAAATATTTATTCAAAAAGAAAACCAAGACGCCTTAATTGTCTTCTCATAATGATTCGATTGTAGGGCAACAATGTCGAATAACTCCTAAGACAGCAATTCTACTTCAGCTTGGATATTTAATCTGGCTTGCTCCTCGAATTTCTCCCGAAACTCCTTAGTCGCAAATATATTCGGAATTTGTACAAAGTTCTGCAGTACCTGAATCCAAAAAATTGATTCTTCAAATGGCAGCCAATAAAATAGCAACATTCAATCGAACTCCCTTATCACACATAAATAATTTGGAAAAAAAAGTGATTTTAATTCCAAAGTAATTTTTCAAATTTATCTGTCAATTGTAGAAGTGCCAGCACAAAATTACTTTGGAATTAAAATCACTTTTTTTTGCCCCTCGAACTTCACAATTAATCAGGCATTTTCCTCTTAGAATACAAATGTCCCAAATTTTTCTGCTGTTTCATCAATTAAAAAATCGGGGAGCTGATAATTTTGAAGCTCTTATTGGATGTGATAATAAATTGTTAATGGAGCTTTATTTACCTTGAGTCTCAGGGCTGTGTACATAGGCTCGCTGAGAAAAGAATATTCTCCACGGATTTTTTCTCTGTATTCAGCATAGGCCTCTGATGCTGAGCCTAGAACAGCCATGTCTAAATCTAACAGGTAGTGAGCATCTTCACTGCCGAAGGCACCATCAACCTGTCAATCAAAATAATTCCCCCGCTCATTTCCGTAATAATAAATAATTCATACCATATTATTACAAACCTTGTGCTCCTCTGTACTGTGAGTAGCTGCTGCTTTCAGTAATGCGCAAGTTTCATTACGTAATTCATCATCCTGAACGATAAAAATTATTATTCATTTTTGCTTTCCACAGAAAAATGTGGGAATGAGCAATATTATTATATATTATAAGATTGTAGTTGGGTAGTAAATAATTATCATCACCTCTGGTATTTCTGCTTCACCAGCAAAGGCAACAAAATGATCTATGTTCTGATTTTCTCCATCCAGAGCCTTGGGATCGTATTCAAAACTGGAATAAGTATAAGTATTATTGAATTAACTTTAAGTCATTATGTTGGTACGAATTGAATAATTGAACTGGAATTTCTGCAGGTGTTTTTACAACTGAATGAAGTAGAAAAATAATGAAGCCACGCACTTTTGGAAAAACAATGCAAGGAGGAGTGCCCTGGGATTTTTCAGCAGACACTTGACATCATTGTAATGACCCAATTTCTCTCTCAGTGAATCCAAATTATGGTACGTCCTCTTCTCCTCTGAGTAAACTTCCTGCAGCCTTGTGAACCATGAATCACAAGCCTCAGTGTTAAATCCATCTGTCGCCTCCTTCCAGCTGTCTTCCAGAGACACCATTATCTAGCCTGCATAAATAACGCCAAATATCTCAACTTCCGAAGGAGATCGCTAAATTTTCGTCATAACCTTTTTTGCAGAGCGAATTCAGAACTACAAAAAAAGTCTTTACAAACATTTTGCCATCTCTCTTCCTTTCGAGAATATTCTCAAAAAACGCGTATACGAGCTGACTTCAACTCCTTTTACCACTAAATTTGACTTTTTAATTAGTTTTCAAGGTATTAAAAAAATATATAATACTTTTACGAAGTAGATTCATGATGCACGAGTGCATTATTTAAAATAAAAGTTTAAAGTTCATCAGAATTAATTTTTTCCTCACTTATGCCACGACTGACACTCACCGGAAATTATTCGTTAAGACAGACGAATAAATATATTCGAAATCCTTGATGAATCACGCCACATAAGGAACGTCAGTCAACAGCCCATGTAGTTTCACTCACGAATCAAATTTCTGAGTTGATCCACGGAATAAAGTATAAAGGGTATAGAATCCCCAATTATTGATCGTCAGGGCAGCCGCATTCGTGTCCTTTCAAGTGCAATATGACGTGACATAACAGTTCATCGAGTACATTTTATTTTTTTTATTTTTCACCACTCATCGATAAATCCTCGTCCCATCGAATGAATTATTCAATAATAAAAAAAAACTTGGAAATTCGATTAATTATTGAGAATTTTAGAAATTTTATTCGGTGATTTTTTTTCTGCATTCTGGCATGCGCAGAATTGAAATTGTTTCAAGTAATCTAGGGTAAATTAACAGAATATTAATGAAAATACGATAGTAATTTTCATTGCATTTTATCCATTATTTATTATTTGTATTTTGTTATTTATTTATCCTTTTTCACTCTTCATTTCGTATTGTTATTATTATCCAACGAATTTAATTCAATTCAATTTTCATTGATTTAATTCATAATTATTTTATTATTTCAATTATCCGAGAACATTTCAACAGTTGAAATACTATAATAAACAATAGGATTGAAATAAATAATTGTCAATCAACAATGATAATCAATGATAAGAATAAATGAGTGAGATGGTTTCAACTGAATGAATTCTTTCGTTCTGAATGTCCGATTTTTATTTCGAATGTGAAATAAAATGGAGAGGATCATTATCAATTAATTTCCATATCGACACATAAATTCTCTAGGATTTTTCGAAAAAAATCTAACAAGTGTGACGTTCCCGCCACTCCCCTCTCTCACTGCGCATGTCTATATTTTTCTACACAGCTGATTCTCTATTTACTAAATTACTATCCAAACAAAAGCCCAAGTGCAATCGCACATGCGGTATCTCGAGTACTTAACACCTTCGTTAATTATGATAATTCACATCACCAGGTTATTAAGCTGAAAGGAAGAAAATGGAAACGACTCGTGAGTTGAAGATATTCATTCTTACATTTTCTGATTGTATAATTGTAGTCCTTGTCATTAATGTTTCTCAGCTTCATTATCCCATCCATTATTATTTTTCGTTAATTAAAATTGTAATGATTAACATGTGAACTGTTATTTTATTCTCTGATTCCAGTTTTTGGAAACCGCTGGAAGTGCCTGGTGACGACGTACATCTTCTGCTCGACCCTCTTCACGATTTCCCTCCTGTTATCCGCCTTTTTTCCCCTGACTCACCCGAGTAACTCGACAGCATCTCCATCAGACATTCCCACCGTGATAAATGGAATAAAATTGAATACAGAGACCATCTACAAACCCTCAGCCCAGAAGATAGTCTTCATGGTGATCGACGCCCTCCGTTGGGACTTTGTGACGAATTCTGATACGAATTCAATGCCCTGGACAACTGCCTCGATCTCCAACAACTCGGCATGTCTCATCCAGGCACGAGCACAAGCTCCGACAGTTACAATGCCCAGGATAAAATCCATGATGACAGGCGCTGTCTCCAGCTTCATTGACGTCATCCTGAATTTCGGTGCAACTTCAGTTACCACTGATTCCGTCCTACATCAAGCAAAAAATCATGGACACAAGATGATATTCTACGGTGATGACACCTGGATTAAATTATTCCCCACGATATTCGATCGTCACGAGGGGACGACTTCCTTTTTCGTTTCTGATTTCACTGAAGTTGATGCCAACGTGACACGTCACATTGATGAAGAACTGGAGATAAACGACGACTGGTCAATAATGATTCTTCATTACTTGGGGCTGGACCACATCGGTCACACGTTCGGCCCTCGAAGTCCACTGGTGCCTTTAAAACTCAAGGAAATGGACGAAGTCATCGGTAAAATATTAAAGAGGATCGATAGATGGAATAACGATGGGATACCCTCCATCCTGATAGTCTGTGGAGATCATGGGATGAAGAACTCCGGAGGACACGGTGGTGCCACCCCAGAGGAGACCCTCGTCCCTCTCCTGGTGTTCGGTGACAGCTGTCCTGGGGACGTAAGCCAGATCGAACAAGTCGACATTGCGACAACTCTTTCGATAATCCTGGGGATTCCCATTCCCCAATCCAATCTGGGAAGCATCTCCATGGATATAATCGGGGATCTGCCTGATGCCCATCAGCTGTTTCTCCTCCACTACAATGCAAAGCACATGTTTCAGCACTTCCGCAAGCTCTCGGAGTTCGAATCATCCGAGATTTACGATAATTACTACAAAACAATAAAGTTGCACACAGAATGGCTGATTGGGAAGAACAGACACAAGCCAGAGAGTCAGCTGGAGTTCATAATAAAATTGTACGACAAAGTGCTCAAGGGAATGAAGGAGATCCTCATCAAGAGTGCAGTGAAGTACGACAGGACTATTATGACGATAACAATTGTCATGATCCTCCAGGCTTTCTTCATCATCTCGAAGAAAAGCTGGAAGCTAGCCCTCTCAATCAAGTGGTTCTTCTACTGGTGGACAATTGGCGTCAGCCTCTGGCTGTCCCTCAACCACTTCTTGTACAACGAGAACAATGAAGTTTACTTCGAACTCAGGGACTTCTGGATCATGACGATTGTCTTCGTCTTCTTCACTATCAACTGCTGCCTCTGCAGACCGATTCACGATATCATTCCCTCAAGCTTATCCCACTGTCTTGAGGATTCTAAAATTATCTTCCCAGCTGCGATGGTTCTTCATGCTGTCAGTCTATCCAGCAGCAGTTTCGTGGAGGAGGAGCACCAGACCTGGTACTTCTTCTGGGTAACTCTCCTCACTTGTCTTTTGTCCCTGGAAATCGGCAGGACTTATCAGAATTATCGCGATAGACTCAGCAGCGATAATATCATCAGGGTCTTTAAGGTATTAATTTTGATGACTCAGCACAGGATCCTCAGGAAATTAAACAGCACTGGAAATAAATACGCACACCTGCCGGATATTGGGGGCTGGATGAAGGACGAGGAATCTCATTTAGCCATGAGTTTTGCTGTTGGAGTTTCCTTAGGGTTATTAGTCCTCATTGGATTCATCAGCGAAGAGAAAAGATTCAGGAGAGTCACCCTAGGGTTTCATGTTATTCTAGCAGTCTGTGTGTACTCCAGACACGCAGCGGATAATTCAGTTATTAATTTCACATCGATTCATCGAGATTCAAAGGGAATTTATGAAGTAAGAGCCTTTTGGATGGTCTCAGGGATTTTTTTGCTTCACTGCATACGAAGTGGAATTTGGAGTTATCGAAATGAGAGGCCAAAATTCCTGCAGAGGATTGTCTTTAGTGTCATTCAGGTGTGGGTCCTGGTGTCGACTCTTCTTCATCGGGCTCATGATGTTATTCTGGTTCCCATGGAATTGATTACCATTTTTGTGATTTATGAGCTGATGGAGAGCAGAGATAATGGGATTTTGGTTTATGTCAGCTATTGGGTGGGGAATGTCTTTTATTTTTATCAGGGAAATTCTAATAGTCTTGCTACTGTTGATGTTGCTGCTGGATATGTGGGACTTCAGGCCTATTGGCCTCTTATTGCGAAGATTTATCTTTGTGTTAATACGTATTCTGCTACGATATTGGCGTATTTGATGATTCTGTATAAAAATACTCGTGACAGGCAGGGATTTGATATTTTTTCGATAAATAGGGTGTACTCCATTATGAGAATTTTTCCATTCGCTGTTTACACTATTATTGTTATGATCCATAGGTATCACTTGTTCATTTGGACGATTTTTTCGCCAAAACTGTTGTATGAAGCTACGTACACTGCAGTGTTGTTTTTTGTGATGTTTGTAATGCAATTACCTTTTTTACTGACGGAATAAAAATTATTGACATTTTCGACGGAATCTTGGATTATTATTCTGGTTTTTATTAATTTGAAAAAAAAATTTTAATACATGGATTTCAGGAGCATTTGGTGGGTGATAAATGCCTGAGTAATTCATGATATAATTGAAAATGGAGGAATTGCTCATTTTTTTTTGAGCGAATATTGGGAAAAAAAAATTGTTTCCGCCCGGGTTCGAACCGAGGACCTTGTGCGCGTGAAGCACACGTGATGCCGCTACACCACGGAAACTATAAGTTATGAAATCTCCATTTCTTCGGGTGTTTCATACGATAATAAATTTTGAAAAATATTCTGAGTTTCAGTCATCAGTTTAATTTTTTTTTTAATTTCTTATTCGAAATGGATAAAATTTTTAATCTTCCATAATATGTATAATTATTGACATAATTATTTTTCTGCGAAGTCAATCAATTTATAAGATCGAAGAAATAATTTGAAGTCACTAATATTTTATAGTAATTTATTATTGATTTGAGTAGATAATAGGGGACGAATTAAATAATCGAAAAGAAATTGTCGTTTCAGTGGGTCAAGACCTAGACACATTTGGAGACGATTTTATTCAACACAATACATTTTATGAAGAATTTTATAATAGTTTCGTGGGGTTTGACGGCGTTGGCAGAAGATGCAACAATTCTACTGGGATTTAGATTTTCTCGTAAACCAATTAATTTTGCGGTGCTCATTAATTGCATTTTATAAGAAAGTGGAATGAATTTAATGATTGCTTTGTTTTGGGATTCAAGCGTTCCAGTAACAATGATATATTAGTATAAAGTTGATGGATAGATATCAACACCTGTTGAATTATCCTTCCAGTTAGATAATTGTCGATACGATTGATAATTGAGGTACATGTGTCATTGGCAGTATTACATTGACCATTTATTAGAATTGTAGATTTAATTTATTAAATTTATCCAGTTGGACAGAATAATCTCGATCTCAATCAGTTCAAGATTTTAAATTTGTAATCTTCTCTTACAATCGAGTTCTCATAAAATTCTAAATATAAAATATCAATGAAGTAATCGTCAATTTTCAAAAAATCAATCAAAACTGTTGCATCCCTCCGTTTTAAATCACTATTTTTCGCCCCTTCAATTCATGTTAACTGTGATTCATTTAAAGATCTTCAAATATTAATTAATATTGAGCATTTTATTAAAAAAACATTAAATATTCATTGCAAAAATCAGGATTGCACGAACTCTGAAGTAAATGGTATTCCCTTGAAAAATAAATAGTCGACTCCTTTTAAACATAATAAAATACAATTCATTGAAAAATAGATGTACAAGCGCAGCTTCTAGAAAAAAAAGTTATTCAATGTGACTAACAAACTCGTAAAAAAATTCTCTACGATCCTGCGATGAAAATGTTATATTTTCCACTCATCGCGCGGTCTAACATAAATTTCTGAAAACTCTCAGAAAATACAATTGCGACCAGTCGTTTCATCGCGATGCAATATCTTCATTGAAATGTTTTAAAATTCGTTAGACACTCATTTTCATATCAGAAAAGTGAATTCGATGTTATTTAAGTACTACAAGTGTCGAGGCTCATTGGCACTGGAAATTTCTCCATTTAAAATGTTAAAACATGTACAAAAATATTTATTTCGATTTATTATTTATTTTCAAGTGGTGTTTGCACTTGACTTCTCCATTTTTAGAGCTCTCGGAGATGTTTTTGGGGTGAAAAATTAACGTAAATGCTCGATTCGTGATGCCATCGGTATTTTACAGATAATACGGTATTTTGTATTATATATTCGAGCAGAATGACATCGAATTAAAAAAATAAAAATCCAAAAATATATTTTGTCGAACTCCTCTGTTTTCGTTCAATTAATTGTCAGTAATTCAAAAATTTTAACGATGAATTCTCAAATTTCAATAACAAAAGTCTTTGAAATTTGAGTGAAACTTAAATATATGATGGAAAAATCCATAAATCGTATCGTAATTTCTGTAGATAAAAATCAAATTGAATTCCTACTGTGGACTTTTAATGGCATCAATAAACATTTTGTGAAGAATGAATTTTTTTTGTGCGTCAATCAATGAGAACTTCAATTATTCGTTTCACGTTAAAATTATTCAGCTCCATTGGAGTGGATTAATTTTGAATTTGAAACCAGTGAATCGATTTAGAATGGAGAATTCATACCCAATTTTGTTCCAAATTCTAATCTAGCTCTTTTTTGATACCTCACGTTGGCTCTGAAAGATAATTCAAGCATCAGTTATGCATTACGAGAACAAGCACAACGAAATTAATTTCCATAATTACTCACTTGATCTCTTGCCACTTGACTAGTTCATTAATGGCACAAACGAGGGGGAGGGATATGAAGAAAAATAATGGCAAGTGAATGGGAAAATTGTCGACTTTCCGTTGCTCTTCCTTCAATATATTGTACAATAAATTAGCAGAAAATATTGCCTGCAACGCAAGACTGGAAAATAAAACAAAATATTAATTACTGTATCTTAAGTATCCCCTTAATTTCATCACTACTGCTTTCAAACTCACACAATAAATGCATTTAAACACCAAGGCCAATTATTAAAGGGCCATCTCCTCCACATTGAATACTCCCTATGCACAAAGCTCACAGATATCATCACTGGAATAATACAAAATCAAAGAATTAATCTCTGTTGAGAAATAATTAAAATCAAATTAAACGCCGCATTTAAGACATCAAGTAGTAGTTGAATTACTTTTCAGCAATTAATATCCTTTAAATTTACTTTAATTTCCCTCAAAATTGTTTTTTGTAGAAAATTATTTTTATAATTACTGAAAAATTCACAAATGTTTTCTGAGTGTACTTTTCTCGTTTTATCTTTGACGAAATTGATTGCTCACCAAAATGCAGAACAAGCAGCGTCAAAGTAACATGCTGTACCAATACAATAATATTTGGCTCATCATTCCATCCACCCCAGAAAGCCTCACCAGATATATTAGGATAAATGTAGAAGCACTGAGACTCTCCTCTCACATAATAAGGGCAGAGGATCATGTACATGAGTAATTGGCACACGATCATGCTTACAATTGTTGGCAAAAATTTACAGCCATAACACCAGAGAACGAACAGTGCAACCTAAAATGAAAAATCCAAATTAAAAAAATAAATCCGTAATGAATTGGTAAACCATAATAATTGCCCCTCCATCGATGAATTATCGATGAATATCTCAGAAATGAAAGGAGATAGCGAAATTTTTGTATAAATCTTTAATTTAGTCCACGTATTGGCCTACAAAAAAGAATTTCACCAGAATATCTGTATCTCTCTTCCTTGACGAGATATTCAGCGATAATTGGCATCAGGAATTATTTCAATTACCTCCCCAGTGACTGCACACTGATTTTTCCCTGTGGCTCTTTGCATTATCGTGGGATCGGTTGGTGTTGCAATCATCGATATCGACAGCAGGGGAATAATTAAACAGATCAGCCAAAGGGTTTGGCCAACGGAGAGCAATGGGGGCAACATAAAAAATCCAGATAATGCTTGAACTAAAGATAGTGTGACAACACAACACAGCCAGAATTGAACACAGTTCCATAGGCACTTCATATAATCTCGGGCCTGTAAACAAACGAGAAAAAAAAAATTCGAATGGCACGAATCGAAATTTAATTTATCAAATTATATTACACCAAAAATTGTTATTGAACGAGAGAAACAATTAATGGTGAACCAGAAGAGCAGATAATATTCCATTTTCATATTCCATCGATTGTTATCAATTTGGTTTTAATGAATGTTTATAAATATTTGAATGATAAATATTTTTATGGGCCTTGGAGGATACGTACCTCCATAACTAGATGAAACATAGCTATTGGATCTTCTCTTTTTACACTTAGGGAACAGGCAATGCAGTTTAATGCTCGACTCAACTCGATGGGTGATGGGCCCTGCTCCTCCTTAGTGCTCGTCATCACAGGTATTTTTTGGCAGACTTGAGGATAGAGAGGTTCCACTCCAACGCTGAAAAAACGAATGAAAAAAAAGGTGAATAAATATGAGGATTTAATGTTGAAATCATTAAAGTGCATTATTCAGGGAATAATGCCAGTAGAAATGAGAAATTGACTATTTTTTTCGCTGATAGTTACAGAATTTTACGAAAATTCAAAAACTTTCTTCGAAGTATTGATTATATTGATTTTTGATAAAAACACGAGAATTGGCAGTACGCTACAGAATTGGTAGGCGGAAAAAATATCCCCGGAAAAAAAAGCCCACGCACCCAAAACGTGTTAAAACCCACCCAATTTGATAGACCATAGGAAAATTAGAGCCCCTGAAAAAATAGACAACGAAAAAAATAATTAAATTAAAAAATAATTAAATTGAGCGAGTTTTAACACGTTTTGAATGTGTGGGATATTTTTTCCCTGGGATATTTTTTCCGGGATTCTACAGAATTACCATTCATTAGCGTGATTTTTTTTATTTATTTTGCGATTGAAGTTACCTACAATTCATAACTTATTATGAACTCAACCAAAAAGACGTCAATTTTCGTTTGAACGTGAATAACAAAAACCATAATGGAGATCGTGTGTTTGCCAAGAAAATCATTAACTTTGCGCGAAAATTTGGGAAAATATCGTGATTTAGTATATGTTCAGCCACCGAGGGGAGTGGTAAAGCCCAAAAAGTTGTGCAAACCCGTCTTAGCAAAAATGGATTCAGAGACGACATATGACACATCCTACCCTAGTCCAGGATTCCTGCCGAGTCGATCCCTCAAACTCCGAGAAGTAAAAAGATTCGGAAGTTTCGATTTCGATACGACAACCCAGGCAGCCTACACGTGGCCCCAAAAATCCCGATCAGAGATTATCCACCCGAGAGGACGACTAGGATTCGCGAAAAATTCCATGGCATCTACAACGACTCAAAAAGACTCCTACACTCATCCCGGAGAAGTAAAAAGGACTCACAGTTTAAAAAAATTTGGAAAGTGTCCAGTTACGGTGCCGATGGAATCAGCAACAACTTATTGTAATCATTTCGTCCTCTATGATATGGCAGAGGCTAGTAGAAGAAAACCGTTTGGGAGACGACGGAAATGTGCAATCAATTTCAAACCCGAGTACATAACAAATTATCAGGAGAATTTCATGAATATTGACAGTCAGTCTTCAAGAACTATTATTCATAAGAAAAAAATTAATAAGTGCCCTGTCTTGGCGAAACTCGAGTCTTCAACTACTTATAGTACGAGTTATAAACCACCAGGGCAGTTTGTCAAACGAAAAAAATTACGAATCGATTAATTGTAATTGTATTAAACGTGTGATTTCTACTCATGTGTTCTCCATGTTTTTGAATTTTCGTAAAGTCAATGTAAATATTGGATTACTGAATTATTTTTAATCATAAATTTTTTTTCACTCCAATAAGGTAATAAATTTCATTACCCAGCATCTGCCTGCATAAATATAGACATATTCTCAGCATTGGCTGAAGATCCTATGACACAAACGACTTCTCCATAATCCTGCATTATATGGAGCATCTCTCGAGTGACCGCAGTATTGCAATCGGTGAATAGAGATACTAAGAGAGGTACATTGTCAATTAATTCTAAATGAGGACGAATTTTGTCGATTCCCCGAGGCAATTTCGCCTGAAATATACAAAAAGCGAGGGTTAATTAAATTGCATCAATTATTTTGTTTATAAAATTGAAAGCCTAGTCTGATTTTTCTTTGCGATATTCATACCCTATTTGATAGATCGAAATTAACTGGAGCACTTTGCTCTGTACTGTCAGTCAAACAGCTGAGTGATCTCCATGCTTCTTGGCCAGAGCCCAAGTCCACACTCTGGACTAGAACACTATCTTCGCTCCTAACGGTATCGTGTTCCCTGAAATGAACAATTGTTCCCATTTAATTGAGAGTAAATGAACGAGAAAAGAAGATGAAAAGGAATAGATACCATGGATGAGGCACTCACAGTGAAGACAGAAAGAAGAAAATATTCGAATCAAATAATCAGACAGCAAGTCGAAATAGATCTTCAATCGATGATCTAGAATTTTTTTTGAACATCAAATTATGTTTGTTGATCTTTGCAACAATTTATTCCAGAATATTTCGGGATTGTTTATGATTTGAAGAATTCCATTTCAACCAATCCTGTTTTATTATTTGATGAACATAAAATTGAGATGGACAATTAAGAAAAAATATAATTACTGAAGTAGTGGTGATCCAGCATTTCCATTATCTGTCGAATGATTTAAGCTGTCATGCAGAATAAAACAATGAGTTCAACTATGGAAAAAATTACATAAATAATAACAATTCACTTGGAAAGAAATTCAGAGGTTCTGTAGGAATAAAAGGTACAGTTGAGATCAAACATTCACAAACAGGCAGAATTGGAAAACAAAAAATTGACAGTTAGATGATCCATCGAGATATCGATATCGATTTTCGTTTGAAATTTTATCATTAATATTCAATAATTAATCAATAAACTTTACAATTTTAAATTGAATACCGTTATCTCAGTGATAAATTTTGGAGGAAACGAAATTAAAATTTCCAATTACCTATGACTCATAGCACTTTTGGCCTGCGAGGGTTCTGGATTATGCCATTCAGTCGCATCATCATCGAACTTGACCGTTGAAAAATCGGTATTTATCGCACTAGGAGCTGACATACTCATCGCCTTGCTGGTATCCAGATTCGAGCTAAAAATACAAAACCAATTAATCAATGGAATTGCGCAAAAAAACCAATGATCTAAGCATGTGGGGGGCAGAACGCAGTAATAACATTGCATCGAAATCAAAATAATCCAAGAGAAATAAATCAACCGTAACATCATCAAATTTCAACATGAAACGTACAATCTGGTCCATTAAAGAGAGTTAGTGTTTAATCAGTCATCTGTGTTAATTTACTCACGTCAGTTTGTTTTTTCATTTACGATTCGTCTTGTTTACTTGTTTCATAGAAAAATAAAAGGAAATAAAACGATGAATACCTAGAGAAATCTTCAATATCAGATCGACATGAATTTACAATTCATGTATTTAATCTAATGAATTATTTACTTCAATTGATTGTTAGGATTTAATTGGAGATTGAATGGTTTTAGTGGTAATCATATTGCTTTGTTTAATTAATTTCTCTAGTTATTCTCGATATGTAATGATATAATGGGAGTGAGGGATTATATTGTGAACATACCGCGGATTAACGCGATTAAGCAATTGGCTGGCCTCGTCCATGCAGGAATGATTATGCTGATGTGATTGAGTCGACGGTGTAGGTGAGGACATGGCAGCAGCCTGGCTCACCCACCAGTCCACTGGACTCTCTGACCTATTACCCATTTTGTTAGTCAAAGGACATGGTTCAAACATCATCACTCCACAGGGTACACAATCACAAATGAACGGTGCGCATTATTTTTTTTTCTGTTTAATGATGTCTTTGAGGAGACAGACACATGTGTTAGTGGTTCGGTGTTCACTGTATGAATTTTAATCGGCTGAAGGAAGATGTAGGTTTTTAAAAATTTCAATCAGAACGTGTCAGCATTTGAATTTAAATATAGTATATATGAACTATTTAGTATGAAATTAATTGATTTCGTATTAAAAAATTATGAAGTAATTTGTAAACTATTGAATGATGAAGAATCAAATGAAGAAACGAGGGGAATTAAATTTTCTCCCTTCATCCGATGAAAAATAGGCGAAAATTATCAACAAGAAGAGAATATAGACAGATATATACAGTAAGGGTATATGAGGGTATCTCTCCATCCATTGCTGTCTCCTGTAATTGACATGCATACATTATTTCAATATAAATACTGTTAGAAACCATTTGAAATATAAAAAAAACCATGGAATGATTAACATCCAATATGGAACACCGAAATGCAACATAAAGCACGATAAAACACTGAGATTTGAACCCCCGAACCGTTAACGTCGATAACCGATAGATAATGCTAATAAGCATAAGCGATTTTATGAAAGTATGAATAAATTATTAAGAAAATTATGATTAATGTGAAAGTTAATACCTAGCCCTCTCGCTGAGTAACGAAATGTGACAGTTCCATCCGCTCTCAAGACCCATCTTCTCAGAGAATACACGTGAACGCAATTCATTCTCCTTGCTGAAGTGAACGAATCTTATGCACGCTCTTTCTAATTGTTCAATCAGTTGTACCTATCAGTGATTAATGGAGTCCATTGTTGGAAATGATGAATTTTTGTTCAATGCTTTCTTTGGGGGGTTTTAATCACAATTCAATGAAAATTGAGGGTCTCTGGGAGCACTCACCATGTCTGCTTGGGCTTGATACTGCATTGTCACCATTCCTATGAATATCTGGTTGCACTGCAGCTCGAAACAACTCTCCACGTCGTTCACCTCCTCGTCCTTATTTTCGTTGCACAATAGGGAATCTGAAAGAGAACATTCAATGCAGATTCATTTATTCGTTATTTGTTGTCATTTCTTTTGTCAATAGTTCTTGATTGTAGGAAAAAAGTTTACCTGTCGAATGAAATTGTCCCAAGAGTCCTTTAACCCTCGGGTCCAGAACATTTCGAAAATCCCAGGGCAATGGGGTGGGACTCCGATGAGGAGCGTAAAGGTGTTTACTATCCGAAGGCAATTCCAGATAAATATTTGACAGCTTGGAATTCACACCTCGGATCAAAGGTCTGTAAGCGAATGCTGTGCAGTAAGAAGTTAAGCTCGTTCTCTGATAGAAATCTAGAACCTTCTTTCGATCTGTTGGGGACAGGGGACACAGATCGTGTCCGTCCCAGAACTCTATGCAAGAGTCAAGGATTATATCAGCTGTACCCTGTGTCAATAATTGAAGGCCTCCACCACCTTTTTCCTTAACTACTACTGCTACCATGTGGGGAAATGGAAATTTCAGTTTCGTTGCTATACTCAGGGAACGGGCGAATTTTATATCTCTTCGGACCATTTCTGGTTGCTGAAAATAATTGGATAAAAATTAATGGATTAATGGATAAATTAGTTTTTGGTTCTTTTAAAGTTGCTCAGATCGAGTTTTCAATCAATTTGCACCAGCAAAAAGGAAATAAATTATAAAACTTTTTTTATAAGGAACTTGATAATTAATGTAATTGAAAAAATAGGATTTACCACGTGTCTGAATGTTGATAATTGCTGTTCCAATTGAAAAATTTCTTGTGCTTGATCCTGAAATCCGATTTGCTTGGCGAGTTCACACAAGCATCTACCAGGAAAAATAAAACAATAGCAGTTAATAATCTTCAATCAACAATATATATATATTGGAAAAGAAAAGATGGATAATAAAGTCGTGAGAAACAGATATCCAGACAGAAGAGAAACCAAAAAAGAAAATATAGAAATAGCAGATAAGATGCAGAATCCAATGAGCAGGGGAGAGGATCAAAGGCGAATTTAGGAAACAACAGTTACTGAAAATAATTTTTATGCAGTTGTGAACTGACCCCATGTTTCCAAGGTTCCCCGACTCCTCGATTAAATACACCTGTCTTGGAAATTGCATTGGATCTTTCTCTGGTAATTTACCTTTGTCTTCATTGTTGTGGCTGAGGGGATTATTTCACACGAAAATCAAATGTGTTATGATAACAGCACAAGTGCAAGCTGAGCAAATAATAAATAAAAAATTATCTCCAAGCAAATGGAATTGACAAAATTCAAAGACATCTAATCCTCAAATTAAGTGAATTATTAAAATTAATTAATTGAAGAAGAAAGTTATTTGAACGAAATTCGGCAGACGTGAAAAGAATATTATTTATAATTATGGTAATGATAATGCGAGCTGATGAGGATTAGTTCGTGGCTGATTTCCATATTCCATTTTCTTGTCAGAGTGTTGAAAAAAAATAAAGATGAGAAGCATGTAGCTAATTAGGATTTGCATTGAATACGAATATTTGTATTTAATTGTAAAGTGGAATTTCTACCGCCTGTTGGTCACTGGGACCAGATTCTCGTTGTAGAGAGCTTCACACGTTACGTGACAGCAAAACTGAGAGTAATGCTCCTGGGTTTCCATATTGCACGTGTTGAGGAGAATTGCGAGACCCAGGGGTTTCAGGGAGTTCAGGTGCTGCTTCCATGCTTGATCATCGAATTGCAGGCGAAAGGGAAGAGCATGATCGTGGGTCAAATCCAGCACCTCAGCAACTGAGTGAGATATGTCTTGGAAAAACAACGAGCCGAAATTCATAAAAAACTCATTAAAAATTGCATTCTATTTTCGTTTGTTTCGAGGAAAGATTGACCTGGGAATTTCCATAATTTTCTACAAATTCCGTCGACTAAACTAATTTGTTTCGGTTGATTTTCGTAGACAATTAGTATGAAGAAAAATACATTGCACTTACCATGATGAGCATACGTCATTTTGTTGGACTCATTCTTACTGGAATCGGTGGTCTTGGGAGGATCCGAGTGTTTATCCAGACTGACAGTACTAGAATCCCTGGATAAAGTGCTGGCATTTCGAAGGAAAAATACTTTTTCAGCGGTGGGATTTGACCACGAGAGAATTCCCTTCTTGTCAACGCAGGAGAGTGCCTTAAATTAAATTAAAATATCCCAATTAAATCGTTAATATCCCCCGTGCAATTATAATTAAAACTCAGTGAAACCAAATTTCAATATTCTCACCGTAACGGACCCCAAGACATGAAGAATACTGGCAGACCTAGACATCATGTACTCCCTACCAAAGAGTATTCCAAAAAAATTCTCCCTGAGTTCACTCCAATTATAGACAACTTCTGGACTATTCGGGCCGGAGATATCGGCGTCCTCGAAGGGATCAACGAATGGTACCTTCTTGGAAGATTGATAGAGTTCAAAAAGTGCCTTGAACCTTGCCATTCCAAAGCAGTTGAGAACAATCCACAAAGTTGGAAAGATTATTGGCAAGAGTGGAAGTGTGACTGCAATGGGCTGAAGCATGAATAGCTCAGTCCAGTGGCCACTTCCAAAGTTCTCGTGGAAGTAGAGATAACGGAGTAGATTCACCAGTTGTACGATGATGAGGATAATGGGATACGCCAGTTGCTCGATGCAGCATATCATGACGAGATGACGCTCACGATTGTGATAAGTCACTGATCGATCCAGAGCTTGATCCAGTGCCATCCGAAGATTTGATAGGTACGGGGTCTCTTGGAGTTTGTAGATTTTATTCCTGAGGGGAGTGCGAGCCTGAGGCGATGAGAATATTTCATGGGCACCGTGAACTGGAGGGCTGTACACTTCTTTTGCGTGAAGTACAGGCGCATCTGGATCCTGAGGATTAGAATAACAGCAGCTCGGGTGCATCAAAAGATGATTATCTATTCGAATCAAGCAATAAGAGGAACTCATTGCCATCGAGACATGCAAACAATAATCTGCACTCCCTCATAAGCACGCAACGATCTCCAAATACAATGGAAATTCATCGTAAACCATGGAATTACTTACGTCATAGGGCACACAATAACCAGGAACCTGTTGGCCAGGCCTGATGACAATTATGTCATCGGTAACCAATAAAGCCCAGGGCAAATTGACAATCGAACCATCTCTATACGTCCACTGGAGTGTTACGCATGGAGAGAGAGGACTGCACAGATGAGGGTAATTATCTGGGCTCCACCTGCAAATATCCCGAGCAGCTTCCAATTTTTTCAATAGAATCTCCACACGATGTGGTATTTCATTGTGCCTCAGGATATTATCAGACAAAACCAGCGCGAAGTTCAAGATCACGAGGCAACAGACGATCAGACCCTCGTATGGCAGTGAAGAATACCTGGAAATTATCCATATTTAATCCAGAATGGGCTGTGAAGAAACAATTTGGAATTATTGGTGATTTTTTGAGATCTCACCTTGCGTCGTTCACGCTGAAGCACGATGAAACGATTAGACTTATTGCGTTGATAATCAGGGCAATTGCTGATGTCCAGCAGAGAGTTGTGTATTGACTTCTGTGATGCAACGTATCCTTTAGCCATCCCCTGTATTTTCTGTTATAAGAGAATAAAAATAGTCATTGAGATGTCAACACGATTTAAGGCTCGGGTGGATCATCTAGAAAAGATCATTTACTCCGAAATTCGGATTCATAATTACTTTGACAATTAATCGTTTTTTTCAATAATTGTTAGCTAGCGTTCTAGCAGTTGTCAACAACTAGGCCGCTAGCTAACAATTATCGGAAAAAACGATTAATTGACGGAGTAATTAGAAGTCCCAATTTTGAAGTAAATTATCTTTTCCAGACAGTCCATCCGGGCTTTAATTGAGGAAAATTGGAATTATTCATCCGAGTCGGATATCTTTGTTGATTCGCATCGATTAAAATGGCTATCAATTCGATGATTATCATTATTGATTGATTTATTTGACGATGAAATTGGAAAGAAAGTGTTCCTTAAAATAAACTTGAATTAATGAGTGAATGAATGAATTATTTTATTGTTTAGAAGATAAATGGGAAAAGAATGTCTAATTAGAGTAATTACCCTTCGACACTTGGCAAGTGAATTTTCTCAGTTGGCCAGAGCTATTTTCTGGAATTTATTCATTAATTTGATGATAACGACTGGCTGGGGCAGTTGATATTCTGGGATTGCACATAAATGTATTGAAATAGGAGAGATATGGTCTTTATTGAGGCCCGAAGAGAAAACCAACATCAATAAAATGGACTGGATGAGAGCCAACAGGTTTTCAAGTCTAGAAAATTATTCTGTTGATACACATGTGTTGCCTTTGGTGAGAGAATTATCTCGTGCGAACAATTTAGTTTTGTTTTCACAACGAATGTCTCCTATTACGCTGTAATTAGTTACTCAACGGATTCGTTAAGCCTGCTGGATTATTAGCTTGTGGTTCGTCGAGGTTTTCCTTAATTTTTCAACAGTTTAATTCGATGAATTGTCGGATTTTGTTAAATAATTGTCAATTGCCAATTATTTCCTATTTAATTGAGGACGAATTAAGATTCTGTTTATACTGAATGAATATTTTTTTTAAGAAATCAAATTATTTTTCTGAAACAATAAATAAATAAAAGGAATAAATGGTTTCAATTGATCTGGAATATGTAAATAGATCGTAAATCTATGAAAACTCAGGTGGAAATAGAATATCAGAGACTGAATTACTCTGTCATTCTTTATTTTTTTATCTATGGCTCTAGGCCTTCTTCAGTTATCACTCTGTCATTATTTAGAGACTGGCGAAGAGGTAAAACCAATAGAATTTCGTAGCATTAAGGAACATGAGTGGAATTAATTCTCATAAATTTATTTAATGAATTCTTTTGGTCTTTCCAATGACACGGGGCTCTAATCTAATCTCATCATCAAATAAATTCGTGAATTCTTGCGTCCTTCATGTTATACATAATGAAAAAAAATGTGAGTTGAATATTTTTATCAGGAAATGAGTCCATGCAAATAATGTCCTACAGCTTCACCTTGAGCTAGCCTAGATTCGCCCTAGAGAATATCGAAATTACGCAATCAATTTCCCCTTGCGTTGTATAATTTGCTAGTTGATAACAATAATTCAATTGTTCTCCATGAATTATCCCCAGATTCATTCATTTTCGTAAGATCTCTTCACTGCAGTGAGAAAAATTCAATCAAATAATTTTTTTTTCCACAAGCAATTCAATATAAATAATTGCACAAGTATCGGAGTATCAATAATTATCGGAGCGCCCAGTGTCGACTGAATAACTTGTCGCCAGAATATTTCGTGTCCAATTAAATCTCGAGTGAGGACTTGCAAACCCCAGGGTTCGATCATTCCAGCCTTGAGAAGCAATTGCTAAATCAGAGTTTCATCTCGTCTCAGAGAACACCAAGAAATACCACGAATGATGCAATTCATCTCGTGTTTCTCTCCTCTCCCTCGCAAACCCAAGAAGTATAACATTATTGGATCTCAAAGGACACTCTTGAATTCTTCCATTTTCCTCTTCAAAACAAGGAAATTATCGTGTTAAATTTCCACTGTAATTTCAGGAACTCTTGACATTGAAAAATAAAATATTCCCCTGTTTTCGTGTTCAAAAGATCTAAATATGAAATACGTGATTGTTCAAGTCAAAGTTGAGAGTAGTTTAGCTTTGGAAAAAGTTCTAGGAGTGGTTTCTAAAAAGGATAAATAATAATTTTAAAAAACGTACTTATTCCTCTTGCAATCTGCTTTATACTCCTCCAGGACTCTGGACACATCTCGGTGGAGAATTTCTAAGGCCTCCGGAGTAGTAAGTCCCAATTTATCTGCGAATTTCTGACTCTCTCCTGTCTCATTAGGTCCAGCACTACCCTCGGCTCTATTTCCCTCCATTTCCTATAATATTCACGCAAGTTAGAAAACATCGCCAGGGTCAATCTATTTCCGGTACGCAAAATTCACAGAATAACGAACGAATTTCCGAAATTAACTCAAAACGTTATCTAACTTAAAAAATGTTTGATGGGTCATTTTACCCAGGAATATCTGACCTTTAAAGAGAAGAAAATATCGAGGAATGATGAAAAATCGACGAATTACTCCTTTTGATAATATCAAAAAATTCCCTCCGATTATTTCTATTATTCATATAAACAATCGAACAAATAAAATGCTCGATGATCACCAAGAAAGAGAAAATAGTAATTCTAGTGAAACACCAAATAATAATTCATCGATAATGTAAATAAAGGGAAGCCAATGCACATTGATGATGCGATCTGTAAACAATGAATAATTGAAACAACAAACAAGCCCTCGTCAGTCTCTCTTCACCCCTAAAGAATCGAATAAACCTAAAAAAATTATATAACTAGAACTACATTTTCATGAGTGAAATTCTATTCCCAGTGGCTGCCTCATGAAATCCATAAAATGTAAATAAACACAAACAATTTTAGGTTACCACCAATTAATTACATAATTATCCTTTAAAAATGCACAAATTATTATTATCAATACCGACAGATAAGATGAAAAGAATTTGTTCAGAAAAAACCATCTCCAAAAATTCGAAAAATCATAAACAAAAAAATTTACAAGGCTAACAATCATCAATCATAAAAAATAGACAAATTCTGATTTCCCTTTGTGCCTGATCCTCAGAGAGTTAATTTCCAATTTATTTAAAAAGGGTTCAACCCAGGATCTTCAAAAGTTAAAAGCCATAGTGATAAAATTTTTAAACAGAATTCGATGAAAAATGTAAATAAAAACAAACAACTGCAGGTAGGAGTGCGTCAATTACATAATGCTTTTTGAAAAAAAAATCACCTTTTCCTGACTGATGTACGCATTAAGAACCGTGATAATCTCCTGGAGTGATCCTCACTGGAGAAACAGTCAATGAAAAATTACTGGAGTCCCCATTATCCTATCAGAAAACATCCCGAAGTCACTGAACTCAACGAACAACCCGGTGAACAACCGATGCCGATAACAGTCTTCGGTCAACTGAATGGTAAATCGGTTTTTTGTCCCTGAGAATCAGGGATTTTTCTCTTTTGACAATACGAGATGATTGGAGCGTCATCTGGCGCTTCTCGTGGTGGAGAACAGCTGATGAAAATTCATGCGCTCATTCCCATGAGAACGACTCGTTTTCCAGTGATCGAGTGCATTTCATTACAAGTTTGTCAAGTTGAGGATTGAAAGATTGTTTTTTTTTAATGAAATTGTGAAAGGCTTTGCGGTGGTGATTCAGGTGTCGGGATTTAGCAGGGGAGGGATTTGACGGGGATTTTTCGAGGCTGGGGATAACAGGGGACGAATGTTGTTTGTCGCTCGTCAGAGAGACATTTTTTTTTCGCTTGTCTCTGCAGGCGGTTATCTCCGAGCATCTGGAATTTCATGGTATGTTTATTAATTATTTGGGGTGCTCGGGGGTTGGTTGGGGGTTTTTGGGGGAGAGTAAACTGGAAAGTTGATTTTTAGGTTAATTCAGGTACTGACAGTTGTGGAGATTTGGGCACATGATGGGGATTTTTTGGGATGTTTTGGTTTATTTGATGGAGATACGACGTCTTGGAAGCTGTCTGTACTCTCTGGAGTGATCTTTTCAAAGAGATTTTGGGGATTTTTCATTTGCGAGAGCTTCAGAGCTGATATATTTTTTGGAATTTCGGAGTGAAAGGGTGGGATACGTCGATTTAGATTTTCCATGATTTTTATGAAATATTTCCGATATTAAGGGAGATGGAGAAATTATTGTTAGAAGCTCTTTTGAAGAGCTAATCGAGACCTAAAAAAAAGTTATCACAAAAATTTCGATTAGACCACATTCAGAGCATAATTTTGTTGAAGTTGACTTGATTCTTTTTTTGCTGCTTTTTCCGAATTTATTTAATTATTTCAGTATATCATCATTATTTATATTTATTTTATTCGTTGCTTGAAATGAAAATGTTTCTTTCTTTATTTAGCATTTTGGTAGATTAAACAATTATTTAATTAAGTAGAAAAATGAGATTCATTCCAATAAAAAATGATTATTTAATGAATATCTGAAGGATATTTGTGGAATAATCAGCCCGAAATTTTGAGTATCTCTAGAGTACTTTTAATTTATCATCGCTTTGTTCTTATTTCATTAGAAGATCGTGACAGTTGGAGCTAAATAATTTGAGTAACAAGAGGCATTATGAAGTCTTCAAGGAGGATAAATAGAGGAGGAGCAGTGCGTAGAATCAGTAGAGTAATTAGACAATGTATCTGCTTATTAGGTGCTCTTGGAACTTAGATAGTGCCACCTGGTCGCATCAGGTACAAGTATCTCTGTGATGTTTTCATCAGGTCTTGGCTGTAATCTATCGTTTCCCAGTTGCTTGGGATATCCGCAGGACAGCGAGGAACTAATTCCAAAAATGGCACGAGAGCCCATTATTCTCAATGTTTACGACATGGTGAGATGATTTTACGAAGTATTATTCATTTATTCTAAACATTTTGTAACTGTTTTCTGAATTTTAGTACTGGATCAATGAGTATACTACACCAATCGGACTCGGCGTCTTCCATTCAGGAGTTGAGATTTACGGAGTCGGTTAGTGAATTATTATTTATCCCACAATTTCGTTTTAATTCATTTTTTTTTTTGGTTTTTAGAATACGCATATGGTGGCCACACCCTTCCAATATCGGGAATTTTTGAGATATCTCCAAGAGATGCTGAGGAGCTCGGAGAACAATTCAGATTTAGGTAGAATAATTCCCATCAGGATTGGCATTTTTAAAAACCAATAGATTAAATAATTCAACAATTTTTTCAGACAATCTGTGCACATTGGGTACACAGATTTCACAGAAGAAGACGTGACGAGAATTGTCTCGGAATTGGGAAAAGATTTTCGAGGTGACAGGTACCATCTGATGAACAAAAATTGCAACCACTTCAGTGGCCAACTGACACAGGTAAATTGAAAAGAGGGCAAATCTAGAGGAGTGTGTCCCGATTTCTCAAGTTGAATCGTATCATCTCGTTGTTTTATCTCTTTATCGGGGATTCATGGGTTCTGATAAAAGAAAATCAATAGTGGTAGGAAAAAAAACTGATGTTTTGTGTGAAAAATTGTAGATTCTGTGTGGACAAGAGATACCAGGGTGGGTAAATCGATTGGCATACTTCAGTTCCTGTGTTCCATTCCTCCAACGCTGCCTACCAAAAGAGTGGCTGACGCCAGATGCCCTGACTCATTCCCTGAGTCATGTCAGCCATCACGAAAGTACTCCACCGTCTGAGAATTCATTGTAACATTTAGCACACGAGGGTGGTGGCAGCCAGTGTAACATTTTGAAATGTCGCAGGAGTCGTACGTTCTAAATTAATCGTAATTCAATTTAATCATTGAAAATTACTTGGGGATGATTGAAAAATCGTTAAATAGTTCATTCAAACAGCAGATTAGTCTCCTGAGGCTCAAAATGTGTCAAATCACTGAACCATCGTCGAGAAGTTCGAAGTCATTCGAGGGCAGCATTAAAAAAAACAAAAAACGTAGGGTGGAAAATCATTGAGTCGACAGAACTAGATCTCTTCTTTATCAAATTTCATCACTGGTGGTATCAATTTTTTTCATCCACAAGCATATTTCTCTGACACTTTTCTCGAAATACAGTGGAAACAAATTTTAAGCTATAAATTTTTGGAGAATTTGTTCAGGAAAATTCTCTGTCGGGAATTTCCTGTAATGGAAAGGAAGTTTCAAAAAAATTCGGGAGAAGATTCTTTTTGTGAGAAATTGAAGTTATCAGCGTAAAATTGTCTTTCCTCCAAAAATTTGTAGAGATCATTTTCCAAACATTCTTCAAAGCAAAAAAATTATTTAAAAATTACCGGAAGACGGTTTTCCATAGAATTTTGGTCTTGATGTAATTAGTACAAAAGTGATCGTCGACTCCATTAATTGACTCCCTGAAAAATTGAAGAAATCCAGAGAAATACCCGGAGTGAAATGCCTTCACAGTGCAACTGCAATTAAATTAATGAAAAATATCTGTTGATCAGTCAAAGTTTAATAGATAAACGATGTAATTAATGCCTACAAATTAAAGTGATTAGGAGACTGAGATTCGTGTAGCCATCCGGGTATTGACACGATATGAAGGTAATGAATTAATTGGCTTCCGTATTGTTACGAGTTAGCAGAAATTGAGAACTAATTCGTCTCTCTTGGTAAAAAAAAATAACATTAATATTTGCTTTAACTGAATAACCCACTTAATTATTGTGAGCGAGTAAATTAATCACAATGAGTTAATCGTGAACTAATTCACGCGTCCACTACTTTAAATGAAAAAAAAAATAAAGAGGATAAATAAAAAATATTTGGCAAGATATAATGGAACATTTCTGTGATGAGGTGAGAGAACGTCAGTCTTTGACACGATTGAAAAAACAAGTCGTTACTTATCAGTTAAACTATTATTTTCAGTGAGAGCAACGAGGAGATGAACAAATAAATAGGATTATATTCTATAAATTTCGATAATTTTAATAAGACTACATTCTAGTTGTGACGTAACGAGAGAATGCAAAATTTTTGCTCGTTTCCTCAATTTGTAATATTCCACAATATATTTCTGCACAATTAATGGATTTCATTGTCATCATAATTAACTCAACGAGTTTAGTCTCAGCTGCATTTAATTCCTTTAAGTCTTTAATTTGATGCATGACACACACACCATACAGTTAAGTAACAATAAAAGAAGAAGTTTATTGTGAAATGGTGAATTATCGGAGACGAATGGAATTCAGTGAATTGATAGTGAAGTGGCGAATGATCAATAAAATTTAATGCTTTGTTAATTGCGCAAATATTCCATAAGCGAGACATATTTTCATCATAAAAATTGGTTGAAGAAAAAGTAATTATCCTTTTTTAATGGGAATTACTCATAGATAAAAGGATTCTATATCCATCGACTTGTAAATAATTGAAGTACCAGATTTTGCCACTTCACTACTGATATTTTTCATCAAAACAAATAAAAAGATTTAATAACTGATTTAATGGATTGGCACCTCTGGAATTTTTTGAGAAATTAGCGCTTCAATTCGTCTCCAGTTACCATTTCCATTATAAATGACAGGCACTCCGTTTGAAGATCGTTGTCGGAAAGATGATGTTACTTGTTACAGAAAGAAAAAAAACCTAGTGAAATTTAAATTAAGAATGAATGATAATGCATGTTGTATAGAAATCATTTTTCGATGATTAATTAACAATGAATCGCCATAAAACATCAAGATTATAAACAATTGTGTTTACTTCTCCTTGGTCCAACATATTATTTACTCACTCAAACTTTCACTGTTCTTTTATGTTTTATTAATGTCTTATTATCTCGATCGCCACTCAATAAAATGTGCGCACATTTTTCAACTTCATTTCGAGTTTGAATGTTTCCATTATTTATAATATTTTTGTATTTGTGGATGGTGTGAGGATTTCATGAAATAATTTTGTTATAATCGATTGGAATCGGCACATAATAAGGAAATCCCTATTTTTATTCGTTTCTGGTTAAATATGAATGCTTTTCCGTGATAATTAGACAAAATTCGATAATTTCGAATGAAATTTGACAAAATATGTCAATCGGTAGAAAGATTTTTCTTCAGCAGTTCATGAAATAGTCACGACATCCTCAAACAAATCAGTATAGTTCGATATTTTTATCGTTTAGATGGTAAATCGTTAAGGACACTAGAGATTTGTATGAGTGAGAGTATTTCTGAAGCACTTATTGCAGGATAATTAATTGAGATTGAATGAATTATATCATATTTGAATATGGTAAAACGAGAGAAATAGTAGATTTCATCCGTAGATCAGTTTCTTTTTTATTTTTTTCTTTTTTAGAGCTTTTCTTTTCAATAATCTGTAGCGATGTGGAAGTGATTTGTTACGATTGTATATCAACCTGACGAAGGTATAGTAATAAAAGATAAAAATCGAAATGAATCTATTGTAATTTTTGTCATCGAACCAGCAGAAATGTTTATTCAGCCTCGACGTGATGAATAATTCATAAATAATTGAATTTTCAGACAATTGTTTTCATCTCTCAATTAAATTCAATCTTTTTTGGGCTGATAGAGAGGTCCGCTACTCAGAACTTACTTTCCCGAGAATTTTCACAAAAAAATGGATTTTCAAAAAAAAATTTTTTCCTCGATTTTTCGAAAAAAAATGCATTTTTATTGATTTCTGAAAAAAAAATTATTTTCATCTCTCAATTGAATTCAATTTTTTTTCGGACTAATTGAGAGATCTGCTTTTGAATTGCTGCTGATCTGCTGCTGAATTTTCAGACAATTGTTTTCATCTCTCAATTAAATTCAATCTTTTTTGGGCTGATAGAGAGGTCCGCTACTCAGAACTCACTTTCCCAAGAATTTTCACAAAAAATTGAATTTTCGAAAACAATTTTTCCTCGATTTTCAAAAAACAATGTATTTTCATCGATTTTCGAAAAAAAAATATTTTCGTCTCTCAATTGAATTTAATTTTTTTTTTTATTTATTGAGAGGTCCGCTACTCAGAAGTGACAAGTTTCCCCGAGAATTTTCACAAAAAAATGGATTTTCAAAAAAAAAATTTTCCTCGATTTTCGAAAAAAAAAGTATTTTCATCGATTTTCGAAAAAAAATTATTTTCATCTCTCAATTGAATTCAATTTTTTTTGGACTAATTGAGAGGTCCGCTACTCAGAACTCACGAGTTTTCCCGTGAATTTTCACGACGGAAGATATCCATCCAGCCATAATGAAGAAAAATCTATTTGTCCTATCGTGCGAATGACATCCACAAATGCGTCTAATTTTCGAAATAGTGTGAAGTCCCTCCCACATCCTGAAAATACCAAAACGAAAACAGCAATCACATGGTGGAATAATCAGGAAATAAAATACCTCTGAATTTCAGAAATTCCACTGCAAAAATACGGAAATACATCGCACAACCGTTATTTATAATTGCTTTCCCTCCTTTTAGTAAATACTACAGACATTCCACGACAGCTATTAATAAATTCTTTTTTACAATGACATTCTAAACCCGTATGTGTGTTAAAATGTTGCATAATGGAACGAGGGTATTGTATTACAGTTGAGTTAACACCGGAGATAGACTGGGGCACTGCTTTTTTATCCTGAAACCGATTAATTATGTTACTATCCGATTTCAATATTTTTTTTCACACTTTTTTCATGTTTTTTCTTTCACCAAGAGGGGAAATATGTTACAACAGCTGCGCCAATCAATTCTGAACTTTACATAATGCTTTGCATCATGTATCATGGAATAATGCAATAACCACCGTTTCATCTTCACAATTGTTTATTTGCTTTTGTTCCACGGGTGATTGCATACTAATTAGCGAGTGCCAACTCGTCCTCGGTTTCACGAGGTGAAAACTCTTGTGTATGTTAGACTCTCAGAAAAAATTGCAGCTTATTTTTATTTGTTCATGCATTTCTGTCAACCCTAACTGATGACCTCAATCCTTTACTACTACTCATTGACCCATAACTTTTTTTCTATTTTTAATTAAAATATTCGCAAAATTATGTCATAAAATAGAATATCGTATTTGCATTTCTCACTCCCAAATCGGTCTTCTCGCAAAAAATGGCAAATGGTGGGCTTAAGGTAATGAATAAAACAGGAAAATAATTTTTTCCGACTTTTTCCGTTCCATTCCAGTCCATTCCATTTGTATAAACAAACCCATAGCCCCCAATTCCCCCCAACCCCTGGCCACTTTTGTATTTCCCGGGATTGACCTGCGCAGGTGCTAGCACCTGCGCATCTCCCCCCATCCTAGGGACAACGGAAAACTCCCCACCGCGGGTCAACAAAGCGAAATCACCCCAGGGAACAGCTCTCTGATAAACATCATTTGTTATCACCTCGATAAGTCACAGGAAAACACCCAAAGTTTCTCAGTAAGAGTGTCACACCCCGGGGTCATCAAGTACCCCATCAAGTACCCCATCAAGATCCCCAACACATCAAAAAAGTCTGAACCCCTCGTGAACGATCAGATGACAAAAATCATTGAAAAGACTAGTCTGTGAAGTGCATCCAGAGGTGCATTGTTGCAGTGTCCACTCCCGGGGCATGACTCCAAAAAAAAAATAATATCCGAACAAATTCCCCTTCGATCAGCAACACCGCCTTCCTCTTAACAACTGCAACACTGTAAAATAGCCAACCAAGAATGAAAACACTAATCGTGTGTCATGGCTGACTCACCAGCAACAACAGAACAGAATCAGCATCAACGAGAGTTGGACAGTGATTTTGTGTTCAATTGGGCAGGAGCATTATCTCAACCCAAATAATCTCAATGGACAAACCACCAGGGACAATGTCCCCAGGATTTTAACGATATTAAAACTGAATTGATATCCTGCGTTAGTGAGGAATGAGACGAGCGGAACTGAGAGATAATAAAAGCGTCAGTGAATCCTTGTTCTCTGTTCTGTTCTGTCCCTTTCTGTTCTGTTATTTTCTGTTGAGTTGTGTGAGTGAGAGGAAGAAAAAAAATAGATAGGCTGTAGGAAGCTAAACACTGCGAGTTGAGACTGGAAGACTCACTGCATGAATAGTGAAATATAATCATTTCATCATCATTTCATCGTAAATTATTGTGGGACAAAGAAAATATTGAAACATAACCCAAATGTGGTGGTTGGGTTGAGACATTTCAGGGGATTTTTATTGGTATTTTATTGGGACTTAGTGGACTTGAGTAATTTAAGTGACTTGTGCTCAAATTGTTGTTGGATATAAAGAGACAATCATGAACTCATTGAGTGAGTTCTGCTCGTTATTCTGCTGTCCACCCTGTCCGTCCAGGATAGTTGCTAAATTGGCATTTGCACCACCTGAGCCAACATACAGTTTTATCGAAGATGAGGGCTCAAAATTTGCCATATCTTTATCGAAACGTGCCGAGTGGCATTACACAGAGAGGGAGAAGGAGTCTGTTGAGGGTTTTTATGCACGTACATCACGTGGAAATAGAATAGCTTGTCTATTTGTGAGATGCTCGGCAACAGCGAGATTTACCATTTTATTTTCCCATGGCAATGCTGTTGATCTGGGACAGATGTCGAGCTTTTATTTGGGTCTTGGATCCAGGATAAATTGTAACATATTTAGTTATGATTATTCTGGGTATGGGGTGAGTGGTGGAAAACCATCTGAGAAGAATCTTTATGCTGACATTGATGCTGCCTGGCATGCGCTCAGGACACGCTATGGAATCAGTCCTGAGAATATTATACTTTATGGCCAGAGTATTGGAACTGTGCCTACTGTTGATCTTGCTGCTAGATATGAAGTTGGAGCTGTTATTCTGCATTCACCTCTCATGTCTGGGATGAGGGTCGCTTTTCCTAATACCAAGAGAACTTGGTTCTTTGATGCATTTTTGAGGTGAGTCCCCAGCTCTCGATTATTATCCTCATTGTAATAACTACAATTTGAAAAATTGATCTTTTCAATTTTTCTACCACTCCTAAAGATCTTTTTCTGACTTCATGAATTCATCAGAAAATATCTTTATTTTACACAAATGTATTTTTCACTACTTTATGAATTTTTTTTTCTACAAAGAAGAAGATTTTTGCAGTTTTAAATTAATTATGGCAGGAGAAATTATCTACGATAAATGGGCCTTTGAACATTTTTTAATTAAAATAATTTACTCCAGGGGGAATGAAAAAAACTTCTCCATGCAACTCAACGAGTTGTGGAATACAAAAGACGAACAATACTGCGCAATTTCTTTCATAAAAGAATAACTTTGTATTTTCCCTTGTCTATTCATAGAAGACAAAGTTACAAAGCTATCAAAGTCTAGAGGTTTCAGTGGAGTTTATTCATTATCTTAAAAGGATTAAACTAAGAAGATAGAAATGTACACAATATGAGGAAAATATTGTTTTTCCATTGTAGCGACGAGGATTGGCCTCTCGAAACGGGGAATTACATTTATGAGTAGCAGAACACTATTTCCGATGTGATTAGCATACAGAAATGCGGAAAAATCATTCAGGGAATTGAGCGATAGCCCTGGAGAAATTCCAGCAACTCAGAAAGGAAAATATGCATTGCAATTCGCGATGCATGAACTCATTTATAAAATTCATTTTTCGATACGAGAGATCTTTCCAATTTTATAACAATATTTTGCTGGAAGAAGTACTCAATATATTTGGGTAGAACGGTGATAGTTAAAATGTCAGTTTTTTTTTGATGTAGTAATCCCCTGATGTGAGAGCACTTGTAGTTAATTACCGATTAATTATTAATTACAGTATAGACAAGGTGCCGAAGGTAATGTCGCCAGTACTGGTGATTCACGGTACAGAAGACGACGTAATCAACATCAGTCATGGGCTGGCAATCTACGAGAGATGTCCCAGGCCGGTGGAGCCTCTGTGGGTTGAGGTAATACATCCTTTCCATATTTCAACAGAACTTTACTCCCCCAGGACCCCAGTGGTTTCGGCTATTTTAATTATTACAATTTGTCAGGAAGTTGGTCGACATATTTCAGCTGAGGAATTTCATTGGAAGTTATATGGCCTGGCACAGACTTACTGTCACGTGAATTAATCCATTGGCTCGCTGACAGGAGATATTATCGGGAATAATTATATCACTGAATATTTTATGATCCTTGTACTTTGGGAGATTTGATAACAACTTCAGCTTTCAATGATAACAACGATTAATAATGATCGTTTTTCGTTCACCGTTTATTACGTTACGAATTCTTTACCTTGAATATATTTATTTGTCGGAATTACAGATTATTGTTTTTTAAATATTTTTGGTTGAATTTCACGTGATAATTAATTGATGAAGAAGGGGAAAAACCGCCGCAGGTTGCACTTGAATCGACTAGCCTTAGATTATCAGCCATAAATTTTATCTACACGTCAATCGATTGATTTGTTGGAATTATATATAAAATGTACTTGAAATATTGAATCAATTAATACAGAATAAGGAATTGTCATGGGTCTTTTAGTCGTACAGGTATTTTTAACACAATCTGCATGAAAAGTTTGACCTCATCTCCTGTTTCTCACAACTTCTCAGCAAATTTAGTTTATATTCCAAGGATGGAGGATCTATAAATAGTCGGATAATTCAAGATTTAATTTTGTATTCTATAAATGCTACCAGGTCTCAATGACGAATGAAAAGACAGGATGAGTTGAATTTACTCGAAAGAGAATAGTTCTTGAAAAGGATTTGATTCTATAAAGAAATATTGAAATACTCCCAAATATTTAAACAATAAAGAACATCTATTTTCATTTACTTTTAAATAAATAAAATGCCTGCGATTGATTGACTGTTATAAGATTCTTAGAAGTTAGTCTACAAATTAAATTATCGAGACTCGAAGGATTCTAGAGACTGGCGCAGGAAATGGTCCCCCATGAATAATAAATTTAATCATGAGAATCCATGGGAGTGATCCTCATGAAGAAAAAGCCCAATTAACTGATGAATAATTTCAGGGCGCTGGTCACAACGACGTGGAGCTCTACAATCAGTATCTGGAGCGACTGAAACACTTCGTAAGCGTTGAATTAGTAAACTGACGTAGATTGAGCCTCCCAGACAAGGAGGGAGGACAGGGTGAAGGTGAGGATGATTTTGATAATAAAGATAACGACTCAATATCAAACTACATAAACACAATAAGTCGTGCTATGCTGATATGCGACGACGATGAGCCTTCACCCGTCTCCAGCGACGAAGTATTTTTTATATGCGAGGAGCAGACTAATGTCAAATGTGATGATAAAAAAATAATAAAAGACTCAAACGATAAGATGAAAATTGAATTTTATCCGCGAGTGCAGTCTGGCATTCAGAAGAAACCAACAAAAACATTGAAGGCAGACAGTATCGATGAGATTAAAAATACCCAGAAAAAAATTGGCAATATTTTGAGTAGAAAGAAAAATAAGAAGGTATTCTGCGATGCATCATCATGCACTGCTGACGATAATAATCAGATATTTGAAAAAATCATAACAACTGGTGATAACGATGAGGGACATGAGACTGCTCACACGATACTCGTTAAAATACAGGTTGAAAATTGCTCCCAGTGTCCAGATAAATCGATATCAGTTTATTCACACGATATGAATCAGAAAAAAATCAATTGCATTGAGCAGTGCAAGATTAAAAATAGCAAGACAGTTGCTGTACAGGTGAATTTCAATTCAATTGAATCAGCTGTTGAGTCACAGTGCGTTAAGATAAGTAAAATACGTCGTTGCAGTAGGGCATCGAGATTCTCTCAGACATCGATAACATCAAATAAAGGGAAGAGAACAAATAATGAACAGGACGTGGAGAAATCGCCTGTGGCTTCTGCATCGAGCCAACCGGAGAATCCAACGAAAATTTATCTCTGGAGAGGGAAGAATTTCAAGAGTCAATCGATGACACACAAGACCAACGAGAAGAACTCCGAGACTGTTGCTTGCGATAACGACGATAAGAGCAAAACGATACAGGGAAAGAGCTTTTCGGTGGATAGGGGATCGTTGAAGAAGAAAAAGAGTCAGGCAATCAGTCCAAATAAGAAGTCAAATCGCTCGTCATTGACTATTGGCTCTGATAATATCAGTATCAATCTGTCAAAGTACTCGCCCTGCGCCAGCAGACTCGCCGCTAGCTCAAAGATTTTGGGGAATAATGTCAATTCATCGTCGACATTGAGCCCTGAGAGTCCCCTGCATGCTGTCAGACCCAGGAGCCCAGGGAGATTGGCTGAGCCTGCTATTGAAAAAGCCGAGGCTGAGAAGATGACGCTTCAAGCTAGCTTATCACTCAATATTGATCAGTTCAAGAAGACTCATCCAACACCTAGAAGTAGGAGCGTTGGTGACAGCTGTGTCACATCACCCACCAGTGAAGCTACAACAACCATGAGCTACTCACCAACTGGCACTGAAATTCTATCCCTCGATGAAGTTGGACACCATTCAACGAATAATGATCTTTCTCTGTCTGCACCGGATTTGAAAGTTCTCAATGGCATTGCGGGACTCACCACACCTTCCAAGGTCAATCTCGAAACCAAGTGTTAATTATCAGGATTGAGGGAGGGATAGAATAATTTTTGTTTAATGGGGATTGCAAGGTGTGAAGAGGTGGAAAGGACAAGGATATTTTTGGCTGATGCACATTGGTGGAATCTTTTGAGGGAAAAAGTTTGCCTGGATGTCTTCAGAGTGGAAACTTCTCTCGTTCTTGAGAAGTTGGACAGATAATCGAGGCGTCAAGGGTTTATTTGGGGATTCTGTGGATGATAGTTTCGTGGGTTCTTGATGAGGCCGTTTATCTCTCATCTCTTGAGATTCTTTTGATACTGAAGATTCAGAGCTTTCAGATTCGTTCTCGGTGGGTATTTGGGAGGCGAGGTTTTCGCTTGGGGATTTTTGTTTGTTCTTTTTTTTTTCGTTGCGATAGCTTTATTAGATTGTGAGGCTTTCGTCAGGAGCTCTGAAGACAAATGACTGAATTATGGGAGGATGAATTGAATCCTTTCGTCTTCGAAAATCACTGGGAGTGAGATCAGTCTCGATGATAATGAAGAAAGCTAAGGAACTAACACGTAATCTTTGATGTCTCCGTCATCTCAGTCGAGTGCTTTGTCAAGGTCGTTTTAATCGTTCATGACAATCGATATTGTTGCTACACGTGTCACTGGTTCAAAGGAAATTTATCGATTTACTTGGGCTTTACTTTTCTTCGGGAGTTTTCTGATAAAATCCTAGTGCCAAAGAACAATATTGAGATTTATCTGTTTTTGTCGGTTATTTTTATTTTTTTCTTTGTAGATGTGTGGGGAGTACAATTCTCTCTGGTAAACAATTGTCTGGGGATATTATAAATTTAATTGTGAGGTGCACATCAGATTTGACTTCAATCGAATCAATTATGGGAAAAAATGGACATCCAATTGAATTAATTTTTCTAAGGATCTTCATAAACAAGAAATTAACTCCCAAATTTTCTGAATACTCCTATACTCGCTCTCTAGATTACTCCGGAAATGGAAAACTAGTTGTTTGTCTTTTCATTGCAATTTTTATCTATTCAGATGAATTATTATTATTAGAGATATTTCTATTTCTAATTACAATAATTCTCATTATCGAACTGACTCATCTTTTCGCTACTGGCATATTAAATATTTCCATGCGATAATTTATGCATTAGAAAAATAATTTTCAAACATATCAGGAGGTCCATTTTACCCTAGCTCTCCCCTGTGCATTCATTACAATTGCGTAATTGAGAGACAAAGAGGATCGAATAATGAGTGAGATGAATGAAATTTTTTTGACCTCAAAAGATTTCAGAATTTTATGATCAATCAGATTTGGCATTTAATTAATTTTAGTCCGAAAAACATGATTATTATCATTGTAAGCAGTTACTTACGAAGTTTATGTTATGATAAATTGGTTAATGATTAAAATAATTTTCTTATGAATTTTCTGTTTTTATTTTGAGCTGTACGATCTATTGTACGTCCCATACATCTCAACATTTCTTCATAATAAACTATTGAAAGCATTCGATAATCGAATTGTTGTAAAGTTCGACGAGAAAGTTGATACTGCCCTACATTAATTGTCTGCATCTTTCATTAGCGAGTTATCCTGTACTATTCATCTTAAGGAGAAGCAATATATGCATAAATATATAAGATAGTTAACGATATACATTAAAACCGATTAATAGTTAATAAACCCACCAAATAGTAATGAGGAGAAATAACAGTTCTTCCACAATTTTTAGCTAACTTGAATATACAAATGATTATCATTAATGAAATATATAAATATATGTGCGGCGATTGGCGCTATCCTGTGTCTTACCGAAAACAAAACAAAAATCATTGATACTGAGAGTAATCTTTTACACGAGATAATAATGAAAATAGATAGGGACAATATCATTGCCAAACTCGACTAAATTAGGTAAACTCTGAAAATTTTAATGGGAATGGGGAAATTAGAGTGCGTGTATTGTGGATGGAAATTTTGGGGTTGGTGTACAGATGGGGATGTGTTTTTTCTTTGGAAAGCATTTGATTGAGGTGGGAATTAATGTTAAAACTCCATTTTTTCATTATGCGGGAATGAAAAAGAATATTTTATTTTCTTTACAATTTTTTTCTGACAAATTAGTTCGTTAAGAAGGAGAAGTGATTAAAAAATGTGAATGAGTTTGTGGAATTGATGATTTTTCATTGAGTATTGAGAATTTATTTTATGTTGTTTAAATATTCGAGAGGATTTGTCTTGAATTATTTTTTTTATTGGACGCCAATGTTATTTCTCACCTGGAAATCAAAGGGCTCCCATGGGCTGATGAATCGCCGAGTAACGAATGATCGATACAATTTAAAAAATGTCTAATCCTAGGACATGGTAATTCATATTATTTCTACGAATGTTCAGCTGTACTTAAGGCACTCGACGCAGAAAAGTAAACGATAAGAAATCTGAATTGAATTGAGTGAGAGTTAATGCCAATTACTCAACGAGAGGTTGAAATATTATTTTTTCATGAATAAGTTTTAAAAATTATGATGAAAACGATAGAAAGAGGAGTTATGAAAAAATATCGTTTTACTTTGAAAATTTATTTGCTTTGTAGACTGGAAATTATTTCAATTAAATGTGATATTTTCACTCCATCTGTTAGACAATTACCTCATTCCATTGTTTTTTCTCCCTACGAATAAATACGTTAATTAGTTATTTAAATTGATTGAAAAATCGTAAGAATGTGAAGTGCTTTATGAGAAAAGTACTTAGTTGGTGAGGATTTTTATTAGTTTTAAAAAAATGGGGCTTTGTACATTCGAAACGATTCTATACAAATGTTGGGAAAGTGAAATACAAATTTTGATTGAATATTTGTGTCAAGTAAATTTTTCAGAACTATGAAAGTTGTTAATTACCATAAATGAGGTGTACAATCGTTGTAAATAGTTCGACGACTGTAACAATAATATTAGCGAGAATTAATGGAATAACTGGTGCAGGTGGAAAATACCGAATGGGAGTCATTGGGACAGAATTAATTCGATTTGATGGGAGACTTCACGGTAATATTCAACATCGAGATTGATTTTTGTGATTGAATAACGATTCCAGGAATTCCTCGTGAATCCAACGGACTTCATAAATCGAGAGTTCCATGGATTTACACCAAATTTATTTGTTTGACTTATTTGTTGCAAAAAAATAGCTGTGGGACTAATTGAAAATATTTTAAATTAACAATTCAATAGTTGTCACTCGATTATAGATTTTTTTATTTCGTTATCTATTGGATTATTTAATTTGTCATTAGAGTCAGAAAATAATGTACGATACTGAGGATAATTTAAGTGGATAACTGAAGATTATTAGATAAATGTCTTGGAAACAAATGGATTCTTCATTGCTCAAGTAAATGGATAAAAATAAATATTGAAAAAATTTATTTAAAATTGGATGGGTGGGAAAATTATGAGTCCATTGTAGATAAAAACGAACGGTTGATTAAAAGATACGTCAGACAAATGCCATTAATTTATCTGTAAATGAAAAAAACAACAATTCCAACACATTCCCATTGAAATCGAATTGCATGTGTTCCCATCTCGTTTTATGAATTTTTTTCCACCGCGCACATGTACCAGCATTTCGTGCAAGCAGATTTAATTTGTCCAACTGCAGTATTTAACGATTGCAGGCGACAAAACTAACAAAAGAACATACTGAATGTGTATTGTTATTTTCGGAGTGTTTCAATAGCAGTTTTTCACCATTTTTTAAACCTTAAAGCCAAAATTGATGGAGGAAAGTGTCGATTGTGAGAGTTATCACGAGATAATTCAATTTTAAACTACAAAAGAGAAGATTAAAATCCATTTTCAATACTAAGTACATGTGCATTTAATTTAGGTGATAAGTTATCACGTTTGTTGACAAATCAATCTCCACTTGATTAATTCACGGATATTTTAACAATATGGAATGAAAAATCTAAAAAATTGTCGAATTAAGATTTGAGTATTATTAATAAAGTAAAGATTAATTCCTCGTATGAATCGTTGATTATGTACAATTATTATGTGAATTACATATGACTATATAAGCACACTGACTCTTTTCATTTTTTTTTTGTGGTTTTAATGGGCCCTGGTTTACCTCTTGATGGACGGGTAATTGTGATGGATGAGGCTTGTAATTGAGTGCAATTGTGGGGTAAGTTGAAGGAAATGTAGAGAAATGAGCTTTCTGACAAAACGAAGAGAAGCTATAACTCAAGGTTATCCGAGTACCTTTTTGCAGGTCTGCACCCTTGGAAAGAAATAAAATCTCGCAGACTGTTCAGTTGTGCAGAAACTCTCAAAACATTTCCCAAAACTTCACCTACCCTTAAAAATGTTTATTCAACTTTTTCGCATTGCGATCGAGTCTCAATCAATCAATTGTCTCAATCAAGAAAATCTCGATTTTATTTTTTTCGTTACATTTTTGTTTCCGTAGAATTGGAATTATGGAAAATACAGTGGAAATGTTTAAAAAATATTGTCGGGTGTTTCGCGTAGGGAGTGGAGTCGTCGGAAGCGGAAATTTCCCCGGACTTCCAGCAGAATAATTTCCATGACTTGAACCCTTTTATTACCTCTACCTCTGTGATTACGAGAAAAATATTATTCGGAGTATTTCGAAGGAGATAATTCACACCTACATGAACTCATACATTCTGTCCTCTCTATTCAGTACTAGAGTCCATAAAATCACTGTGAAAACTCCCGGAAATTTCTTTTTCTCCATCTCCCTCAATTTTCCGGGGAAATAATTCATCTCACGCAGTGTATGGCCGTAAATTATCACCGAATGTAACTTTTTTTTTTCAACTTGAAATCTAATTTATCTGGGTCTTTAACAGGGTCAACTGAATTTTCCAAATGGCACTGCGTGCTCTAATAATACAAGAGCAAACTTTTTGTATAATTGAGTCTACACGCTAGGCTTAACCCACTGGTAACAAACTTTTTAACCCGGAGGGAACATTGTTGGAAAACCGCCAATTCACGCAACTGATAATTCGTTTTTCATTATCAAACAGCAAAGTTAATTAATACCCGCATTTTCCGTTCGCTGTCGTTCCGTGGAAATTTTACGATTTCACTGATAAATAACAAAATTCCTGCTACCGAAAAATCGCATTCTTCTGGTTTTTTTCTTCCGAATGGAAGTCTTATATTTAATCCTTTTTTTTATTCTCTAATTTCAATTGCAAGTTGTTTAGAATTTTATGAAACATGAAAAAGGGTGTATGCACTGGAAAATTCGAAATTTGGAAATGAATTTTCCGAAATTTTCATTTTATCGTGCGTTTCAGCTGGTTTTTTTTATTTTAAAAAATTAAGAATTTGAATCAATGAAAATGGAATACAGGGCATATCTAAGTGCATTTATTGCTCCCAATATTTGTCTAAATAATTGATAACACTTGTTTACTCAGAGTTAGAGGTAAAACAAGGTTTAATTGGGCGTAAAACCGCATGAAATATGCAAACAAACGCGTCACTCAGTGCAACTGAGTACGTACAACTGGAGAGTGTAAACTATCTGCTGGGGATAGTTTCACCCGGGTATCAAATTAACTCTATTATTAATTGCCTCGCAGCAATGATTCAGAATCAGTAAGAACGTGTTTATTTATGCAAATATTGATGGAAATGATTTTCCGGGCTCGACGGTCAATGGAAAATGGTTGATTGAATTATTTCTAACCGTCCCAATCCAATAACAAAACTCAATAAACAATTGTCCAAAAAATGTCATCAACTTTTGATATTTCAATAACAAACATCAATCAATAAATAATAAATCAATCCTAAATATATAATGATAAATTCGATTGTATTCTAACGGCTTGAAAATTTGAGAAAATTGAGAAATTATAAACACAATTTTGAGATGAATTTTGAATTTATGATTGATCCAAGTGCGAATTAATAATTAATAAAATCGTAATGATAATGATAATTATTATTTTATTCAGGTGTTTGGTTATTTATTGTCTTCCAGGGATGGGGAGGCGGTTGATTAACGTATATTTTGAAAGAGAAAAGTAAAAAAAATAGTGGACTCGAAAAATCATAGCCTCATCTATCCAATTTCCGGATTACCAGGTATGATAAGGAGTAGCTTGCGTGACAAGATACAGCAATAATAAAACTCCAATGACTGAAGAGGAAAGGAGGTACATGTGCAAAGTTAAGTTTCGGTTGTTGACGTATCGCCACGAAATGGTGTATTTCCCATTAAATAAATGCACCGAGAACGGAGAGGGCACGAACAATGAAGAAATGAAATAGAAAAAAAATGATAGAGTGGAAAAATAAGTCTTGAGACTGAGAGCCAATTCCAACATTTTCACCGAGCTAAAATGGCATGGGATTACCAAACTTTTGTGGTCTCGCGTGATCATCCAGCTGGATTTGACTTTAACTCAGTCATGACATGGAAACTGCAAGTGTGTGGATGAGCTATCTATTGAAAGGAGAGGGCACTTGGAGGTGATGGAGACGTTTGCTCTGGGAAATCATGGCTTTTACTAAATTAGTTCCATTGATTCACCAACGTCGAACAGCTCATTCACTCCAATTCCCATCATTTCACCATTGGTATCAATGGTTTGACTTCTCGGATAATTGGAGATTCTGATAATTAGGAGAAGCTGCTAATTTTATTTCAATCTAAATTTATCTTACTGGAGATATTTAAAATAATTTACATTAAGAGAAAATTCATTTTGAAGACAACCAGATTTTTTATTTCGAAAACAAAATTAGAAGTGGCTGATTAATAAAAAAAAATGTTTTTAGAATTTTCGAAATTGGTGTACCGAAGTGGAATTGTGAAAATTATTATATTTCATATTTTTTTGGAGAGTCGTCTGACCATTTTATATTTTCTTATTGAAATCTGAATATCTATGGGTGCAATTGAAAAAAATTATATTTTTTACTACATCCTGTAATAAAACCGCAATTTTTATTCGCAATTTTCCTTTTCCTTCCAATAGCCACTGTAAATCTCAAAGAGTGAAATTTTTTTCAACAAGAAAATTTCCTATTCGACCTAAATAAAACACGCAGAAGTATTTTTATATTTATATGAACATATGAATTCAGTGAGATAATCTTTCAGGTGAAAGATTCTTCTCCTGGAAGTCTGATCCTCACCTATCAGAGAAATAAAAACAAACACCCATGATTGATTGGAAAAATAAATATTTTCCCGCAACAACTCCATCAAAATGGCAAAGTAAATCCACTAATAAGGGGATAATTCATAAACAACATCGAAAATTGCCAGCAATCGCATAAAATCCCCCATAATCATCAATATCAAAACAGGTTTCAATTCTAATGGCAATTTTCGCTTTATGGAACCATTAAAATTCATTTTTTCGAAATAACACGTCAGTCGAGGTGAAATTATATCATTAGTTGGTTTCGCCGCGTATCTTTAATTAGCGCAAAAAATAATTGATAAAAATTCCAGGGAATTTCTATCGTTTTAAATAGAGTAGAAACGTCTTTCGGTGTTGGCTCCAGGGCTCACCTGCACTGGAAACCTGATGCGGATAATAAAAATGAAAACAGGTTACACAGCACCACCCTTGTTGCTGCCACGCTTTTTGCACTGCTGAAAACTCACTAGACGTTGTACTACCTGTATGTAACATAAACTCGTATTATATTAGGAGGATATTAGGATATTTTGTCTCCTGTTTCTCCTGCCATTTTCCCACTTACGTCCATTCCCCGCGCTAGTTTCTTCAAATTTCACTTGCGTTTCATCTCAATTTTCCAATGTCTCAGTGTTTATTCCATTTCCAT